TTTAACCGGACGACCCATCTCTTATCAGAAATCAGATTAGGTTGAAGAATATTGCGGAGAGCTGAAACTACAGTAACCACAAAATTCCACTGTTTAAGATAAGCATATATCATTCGCCAGGAATTTTTCGAAATCGGAATTTCTGATTTTCTGAATTTTTAGGAACTTCTGAATTTCTAGAAAGTTCGGTAAATTCTGAAATTCTAGTGATTTTTTAGATTATTGTATTTCTAGGATTTATTTTATTTCCAAAAATTTCTATAAAAGATTACCGGGGTCTGGATTTTCTGAATTATTTTTGAAATTGTTTGGAATCAGAATTTCAGATTTTCAGTAATTTTGAATTTCTGGTGCCTGTTAGAGCTTTCCAAAATTGTCAGTTAAAAACCCTCGTGATTATAGCAAGCCTCATTTGCCTATTGTTTTGTTGTCTCCAACCTAGATTAATTGTCATCAAAGTAATGGTATTGGATACTAGTATATTAGATGGACTACGGCAATTCAACATGAGTATCATGCCTTGGATTTTTAACACAAACAGCAAACGTTCAGACTTTTCTAAACGATCCGGAAATCTAAATTGTTCACTTCCTTTTCACTCACATGATTCATCTTTTCGTGATTTGAGATCTACGACGTAACGATGTACTGATTTGATTCAACTCACCTGAATTGAATTGGAAATCATCGGACTGACGAGAACTGTTTTTCTGATGATCTATTCATTTTTTAAGATACGTAGAAATCTGTTAAAGGAGGTGGGACAGGAGATTTGGAAGAACGTTCCAGCTTTGCCAGCATGGTTCACGCCAGCTTGTCAGTCGGTAGCAGGGCCGCACTTCCAATACTCGCCACACAAGATCAAATTTTCGTCGAGAGGCTTATATGAACAAAATTTGAAGTCGTTTTTTTTCGTATCCCTCCACCTTAAAGGAGTATGGAAAACGCATATTGCCCAAAATAACGACAAAGTACGCTAGTTCTCTGGTGTCATAGAAATCAAAAGCATTTAAAATACAATAACAACCGATGCCGTACAAAACCATGAAATCTAAGTCTTTCTCTATTTTCGTTTCTGATCCTCTTTTCTATTCAGAACCACTTCTTTTTCATTATTGTTATAACTGTTTTGATCTCTAATCATCTAGCTCTTCTTTATTTCATTTTCCTCTCTTTTTATTCACATTGAAAAGCGCGAAAAGGTGATTGGATGACCGGATCCAGTCCTTCTGTCCAATTCTTCGCGTTCCGTTCAATCCCATTTCCACCTCCGATCCCTCTACCCTCTCCACCGTCACCTCCGAAAACCAGTTGTTCCAAAAAGCCCCGAGATGAAAAAGAATCAGCCGGTTTCCATGGCGGAGTGTACCTCTTCTATATGTTTCTATTCTGAAGTATGCATTGAGAAGAAAAAACAGAAGACGTGGGAAGACAGGGCCAGGATAGAGCGAACAATTTCTTCTCTTTTTTCCTCGCCCATCTGTATACTCGGACGTCAGCAGGTTTTGCCGATTGTGGTAGGCGTTTTGTCAATGACGGACATATTGACAAAAGTACCTCCTTTTTGGTTTTTTTTTGAACGACTACTGGTCAGCTGATTTCATTTTTTGTTGATTGTTCTGTTGATTGGGGATAGCAAACCTTTGTTCGGTGGTCTTTAAAATACTGGACCGCAATTAATCATTGATGTACCTGTATGAGAGTACAGTGGACTATGACTGGTCTTCACAAAGTATAAACAAAAAGATTTAGAGAGTTTGCAAACTTTGAAATTTATGGTCGGTGCGTTCGAATTTGGAATGGCAGAGCCTCAAAATCGTTAAAGATATAACAATAATAAATTTTTTTAAAACTCATAAAGCTAGTCCCAGGAATAAAAAAAATAGTCTCCACATATGTATGTTAATGGCTTTTGTCAATTTTCGTCATTTGTTTAGTGTCGTCTGAAATTTCCTTACCTATTTTTTGCTAGAAATGGTCTTTGCAGTCATTACTGAATTCAGGTAAGGAAGGGTTGCCGTAAAGCGTATAACGGGAGGTTGACGATTAAATAATTGGCTGTAACTTGCGTTTTTAAGCGAATGGAAAATTTTTCTGACAAAGATTATGAGAGGCAAACAATAGTAATCTGACCATAATGAAAAAAAACCAATGTTTTTTCGTTAAAGGTTCTTGAAAAGTTTCGAAAAATCATAAAACCAAAAAAAAAGCTTTATAAAAATATTTTTATCAGAAAATATAATTTTTCCATTGTGGTCCGATTGCTAATGATTGCCTTTATTTTTTTTACAAATTTTATTAAATTTAATTGAAGAAGACGCAAGTTTCAGTGAATTTAGAATTTCAGCCGCCGTTCGTACGCTTTTAGGCCATCTCTCTTGATATGTTTAAAATTATCGGCATTTTTGCCCGACTTTTTTAGATTAATATAGATTAATTTCCCATATCCCTAATTTTCGATATTTCCAATTTCACTGACGACCTTCGGAAAACTCAAGAACTTCCGATTGCTTATATGACCAATAAACGTCATTATTTGAACATTTGATCGTCCCGAACAGACTCTTGACATCTTCTAACCAATTCAAATCTTGTCTGGTTTAATCTTTCAATTGCCAATTCTTTGAAATTCTTTACAAGTACCTAGGAATCCTAAGCATCCAGTAAACTAGGAGATACCTAATCGTATCACTTCAAAAAAAACCATGTTAGCCTGAAAGACTACGCCCCTTTCCTATCTTCCGCCCAGTCTTTTTTGTTACATTTGCCATCTGAAGAATGTTTTGAATGCTATCAATTTAATTAGTTTACCAAACGCTTACCACAATTACTATACATTTCTACTTGTTTTCTCCTTTTTCCACCTCTATTCTTCTCTTTTTACTTCACTTTGCCATTAAATTCGCCCTCCTTTTTTTTGTGAGTTATTGGATTTCTTTTGGACTTTTGAATAAATTGGGTGGCTTGTTACAATTGGAATTATCAAGCCTAACGGAAATAATTTGTTTAGTCTGAAACTGTAGGGAATGTAAACTCGAAATGGCTCATTTAGAACAGTTATTGCTCATAACCCGATTATTTTAAATTTAAATTAGCAACACCATTTCTGTATTTTCTATTCTCCATCCAGTTCCAATGGATCATCCATCCTGCCATCCCTTTGAGTGAGAGAACAGATTTAAGTACACACGCGCACATAATAGATACGGAGAAGAATACAAATGACAAGTGTCTGACGAACACAGTGATAAAGAATCGAAAGAGGACCGCCGCATGATGATGCTGTTGGATTGGATGATGATGGGTGATAAACTTGATTATGTCAGAGGAAGAGAATGGAAACATTCTTATTCGGCAGATTTGTGGCAACAAACCTTTTTCCAGTTTCCTGTTTTGAATGATTGGATTGGACAGAGAAAAAAAGATGAGTAATGGGTTAAAACTTAGGACTTTTGGAAAGCTGGTTTCCAGAACATTCTGGATGATTTTCCCTGATTCTTGCCCCCTGTTCGTCACTTTCCAAGATGAAAATTCAACGAATAGACTTCCAACTTCCGGAATCCGGGTTAAAACCACCGGGGACCACCCAGTTTTACAACCCAAAATCCTCAAAAAACGTCTTCCTCTAAATTAAGTCTCTATTTTTCTCAAATTTACCGCAATGGCCTTGATGAAGTCCCCAAGTTTGGGAGGTCGGTTAATCCTCCCATCCTAAAATCGAGACCAATTATTTTTACTCTTCCTACGTCTTCTCCCACTCTTCTGCAGTTTTCTATACAATGTTTCTTTTTTTACCTTTTTTTTGTGAAATATTTTGAAATATAAAGAAAAAGGAAAAATTTCGAGCTAATTATTTAAAAAATCATTCAATAGTCGGTTCTGAAGAATTTCTTGGAGAATAGGATCTTTGAAAATCCTTCTTATATGTCAATAGTAGATTTTCTAGATAACCCGAATATAAAATTCTGAAAAAATAGGTTTTAATGTTTTCCAAATTATCTGATAATACGTTTTGAATGAATCTAGACCACACATACCGTATTTCTTCTAATGGAAGCCCATCCAAACCTTCAACTTTGAGTTCAATTATCTCAATTCCTGTAAAAGTAATCAAAGTTTTTCCAACTGATGAAATGTTGGGCATAGTATAGTAAAGCTTTTTCCAATTGACAACTTGTCGATATCATTTGTAGAAACCAAGAAAAATTTGCTCAAAGTTGAACAATAAGGGACCCTTCTATTACAGGTTTAACGGTGTTTAACGAATCTCGAAACCCTTTCCGATCAGAGATAAAGATACAAATGTTGAACTTCTAAAAGTTCGCCACTACGTAACGTCTCCTTCTTCTTCTCTTCTTGTCTCTTCCGAATTCCATCAACGGTATCCTCGCCGCACTTTTTATCAAATCCTATTGCCTCCCATACTACTGAATTTATTCTCTTTTCACGTCTTCTTCATTTCGGAAACTTTTTCTGTAGAATATTCTCGCATCTGACTGTCGCTCGCCCGCCCATTTATCTCATTTGTCTCCTTCTTTTATCCGGTCCTCTCGTGTTTCTTGTCACTTTCTTCTCCTCCTTTTATCACCTTTTTCAATGTAGAGATTCGGAGATTGTACAGATTTTAAATTGCAAAGAGGAGGGTGTACTTTGTACAGGAAGCGGCTTCCGTAAAATCTGTAATAGAAGGGCCCTCACACCCTCAAATTTGAGCTCAATTATTTCGGTCTGTATGAAAGATATCAAAAATGTGCCAACAGATGAAATGTTTTTGATATTATAATAAATATTTCATTAGTGGACAACTTTTTTATATCTCTGACAAGAACCGAGGAAAATTGGCTCAAAGTAAAAAAATAGGGGCCCCTTCTATTACAGGTTTCATGGTAATTATTGAATTTGATAACCTATTTTTTTCAATTCTCTCTGTTTCTCGGTTGAGCTTCTAACCATTGGCTTTGTTTCTTTGTGATCCTCATCAGAGTTTCCTTTTTCCAGAAATGTCAGTGGAACTTGCTAAACTCAACAAATTGGACACCACAAAGCTTCCAGAGGCTAGTGTCGCCTTTGTCAAAAATGCTTCTGGAGCAACTCTTGCTCGGGAAACCATCATCAAATACACGCCATCCCTTGCCTACGCCGCTGTCCAAGAACTCGATTCCAGCATTCTTGGAAAGGATATTATCGTAGAGAAGAAGCCAGAAGATGAACTTCAACTTAAGCTTATCACCATTGAGGTAGGTAAAATGTGAGAAGAATTTATCGAGTAGTGTGGGTGCTGTTGAACCTTATAAATTCAAAATTTTTCAGAAAGTAAAAGAGAATCGCCGCCTACTTCCGATTGCTCAGCAATTCCACACAGTTCCAGATGGAAGACACGCTGAGTGCCATATGACTGATATCCTCTCAACTCACTCTTTGGGAACCTACAATTTGGATCTCAAGAAGAATGTCACCATCGACTCTTTTGAGGTAAATCAGTTTTAATTGAAAATCAGGAATTATGAGTGATTTTCAGTTAACTGATTCCTGGAGAGACGATGCTGGATTCATTGTCACTGATAGAAACGTGTACATCCAGGGAACCTACGACGTCGCCAAGCTTCTTCCAACTCTCCTTCCATCTTCTCGTGAGTAACATGAACTAGAAGGGAGAAAAAAATCCATCTCATAGTTTTCTTTAGAATAAATATCGACTAAAACAGATGTGATTATACTTGACGAGTATTACAAAATAATACTAATTGGAAATTTTTATCTTGTCTATGAACAAATTTACAAACCAATAGCCGCCCGAGCTACGCGGTCGATCCTTTTGGCACGTAGTTCGGAGGGTACAACAATTCGGGGTATAAAGTGATTTGGAGGTACAAAATCCAAAATTCGGGGGCACAAAATTCGAATTTTTGTGGATATCTCGTACTCCCGACTTGAGTATTTTGTGCCCCTAAAATGCTTTGAACCCATAATGACCCCAAAAGTTTTGAACTATTTGCCGATATTTTTGGCCTCCTGTAACTTTGTTCATAGGCAAGTCATCATTTGAGTCTATTTATTTTGAAAACCTGAAATCAGTAATCTGAAAAGAAATGGTGTTTTGAGAAATCTTTACAAAAAAATTATTTCCAGAAAAAGTGACTCCATACGCTAAAGCTGACTTTGACCTTGTCGCTGACTTTGACTCAACAGTCTGCGGATTCTCTCGTGATGCCTATCTCACTCTTCTTCTCGCTTCCTCATCCACTATCCTTCTTGCCAAATCCTCAGGATCAATTGATGGAATCATCGTCGGGAACGGAGCTGACAGAATCAACCTGATCTACGCTGAAACCATCGAAATTGCTCATGCTCTTCTGAAGTCATACGTGGAGAAGACGAAAGTGAAACAAGTCACTCTTTTCACGGTTCAAGGCGTCTGGGAATGCGAACCAACGAAGAAACGGGCGGTACACAGACGACACACTCGAGCTGTTCCTTCTCTTATCAAATGGGCCAAGGTAAGTCTTTTTTTAATTTTCTTTTTTTAATTCTGAACATTCTCAGATCTACGCGTTGAACATGGGTGTCCACATCGTCTAAACTTCTATTTTTCTGAATTAATTTCTTGTGATTTTCTGAATTTTAAAACTTCTATGATTTTCATTAAACTTCTATTCCCTCAACTCCACATATCCCTCAATTCACCAAAGTGTCCTTAATCTTATTTTTTGTTTAAAGTGATAAAATTTTGAAATTTGGTAATTGTTATGATTCATTCAAATCCTCAAATTATTATCACAAAACAGAGGTGAATCACATAAGAGTATCAACATAAATGATTTAGAAATCCTCTTCATCCGAATCCACTGATTCATTCAAGACTGCTCTGCCACGTCGACGACCTCGTTGCAAACACTCTTCATCTGAAGATTCTGGTTTCGGGACACGTGGAGCCTTCCTAGGAGACTTTGTAGGAGACGAAGTACTCGTCGTAGTAGAAGTATCAAATTCTGAAGACTCGTCTTGCAATGATTCTTCAAGATAATTTCCTTGCAAGATTCTTATCAGGTAACTTTTTTTGATTGGGTATTGATGTTTTTCAAGACACTTGAAATATCTGAATCCATCGGGATCCGGGATGACGTCGTTTGAAGGTTCGGGATCCAATTCCAAGCAATCCTTCAGTGTTTCCGAGAGGTCCCAAATTTTTTCAGACACTTCGAGTCGTCAGAGTTTTCCAAAAGTTTTGGAGCACTGTGATAAAATGCGAGGAGATGCAAATACTCTGGTCGATGTTCATCATCATCCACCATAGTTTTCAAAAGAATTTCGTACGAATTCTGCCAAAGAGTGGTGACGTATTGAACAGCCCGTTGTTCAATTTCAGTTCCATATTCTGTAAATAAACTACTTAGCATGGTTAGCTAGTTTCAAATAGTTACCTAAATGCTCATAAACCGACATAAGTGGTATCAGCATCTCTTTCGAAATTGCTGCTTTCTCACTGATCTTTTGCAGATTGTCCTTAGAATTTTCGATTTCCAATAGCTGAAAGTTGAATTGTTAAAAATCAGGTTGAATCTCAAAACACTTACAAAATGAATTTTGGCAAGGCACGCGAGATAAAGTTCGTTGATTGGCATTGGTTTCGAGATATCTGAAATGTTACTGTCTTCAAAAAAAAATAAATGATGCTTGATGGATTACCTCGATTCGCAAACTTTTTGAAAATTGAAGTCAAACTTCCAGATGCGGCTGGGAATTCGAGTGTAGCGTGGAGTGCTCGTGTGTGGAAATATGTACTTTCTAGGAGCTTGGCACTGAAACAAATCTTCGATTTCTTCTTGCTAGCATTTTTTAGGAAGATGTTCTCACCTCATTACGGAAATCAATCCTAACTGATTCCACACTGCTCCATCTGCTGGATTAATTCTACACGATTGCTCGTAATACTCTTTTGCCTTCGGGTAAATTTCCTATAACTCTATTTTGTATGCTCCATCTTTCGACTGAATATTTACCTTATATCTTATCAGATCACCCATTCTCAACAAAATGTAAGCTATGAAAACTCTACAGTGCGTTTTAGATTTCACTGGTTTTCTTTTCCCATAAGTACATGGCGTCCATGTCAATTGTGAGGAAATATCTTCTCCGAAATTCGGAATTTCATAGTTGGAATGAACAAGGAGCGAAAGATCTGTGAGGAATCCTAGTGCGAGATTCTGAACATTCAAATCGACGACTTTATCCTTTTCGGATGCTTTTCGCATTTCGTTCATCATCGATTTCAGTTTGTTCCAGAATTTAACATCTAGTCTTTTAGACATCGAAGTTTCGAAATCAGCGGCAAACATTTTGTTTAAATGTCTCAAGTACTGTGGAACGCTTTCAACGCCTTGTGGCAACTTCTTCAGTTCCAAATGAAGTTGTTCCCATTCTTCTGTCATCTTAATAAACACTAGTGTTTGCATTTGCCACATTTCTCTAAAAGTATGATCTGAAATTTTACAACATTGTGTCATAACAGAACGGTTTCAAATGAAAATTTTTATATCTTCAATCACTTTTTGGTGGAAAAAAAAACGAATTCAATGACTCAATAACCCGGTTCGGAAAAAGAATGGGGAATGATACATTTCAACTTTAAGAGGAAGAAGAGAAAAAAGTCTAAAATTTGAAATGATTCTACATAATTCTATACACACAGAAGGATAATCTTTGGGATGCAGTTTTGATTTGGGGATGGGATGGGATTCAGGAATAGCTTGAAAAAGTTCAAAAGTTTTGAAAATTTCAAAAGACACATTCAGAATCTCTAAAAAAAAAAGAAACTACCGGTTTTGAGACGTAATATGAAAATAATCACATTTACACATGCGGGAACGCTTTGAGGACTTAGACAGGGGTGGAAAAAGGATACTCGGATCTTTGGTGAATATCGGTTAAAGAATAATAATTTGACTGGGTAACGATGAATAATAGAACAGGATGCAAAAATATATGTGACGGAAAGTGGGAATTAGTAAGAACGATTTGGCAATATTAATCTTCGATGAAGCTTTTTTTGGTTAGTGTACACACAGGAAAAAAAAACAGGAAATCGTTTGAAAAAGAAAAAAGAAAAATAAATCGAAGTTGAGAATATTCCACTCGATTGAATTCCATATATAGTCATAAAATATCTATATAAGACCGTACACGTTGTAATAGGCCTTCTTGTTTGCAGCTGCTGCTGCCGCAGCAGATTGTGGAGTCTTTGCAGTCGATGGCGGAATATATGATGAAGAAACCATTTGACTCCTCATAACAGCATCCATCACAGAATATTGAGAATCGTAGTGAAGAACATTTGGCGCTGATTGAGAGCGAGTTAGTTTTGGAAGGATGATGTCTCGGAGACGTTCGAGAACCTGAAAAAGACATTTAATATGTAACCAGTATTCGGTTTATTCAAAACTCACTTCTCCGAAAACTGGCCGCTCATTTCTGTCAAACATAATGCAGTTGTCATATAACTTCATCAAGCTCTTTGGGGTATCTGTACGGATTTTCGAGCGATCAGGCTTCAAATAGCCTCTTCCAACCATGAAAAGTATCTGATCTCGGTTATTGATATTGGAATACGGAAGGTGTGAAGAGAGAATTTCGTACATGCAAACTCCAAATGAGTAGACATCTGATTGTGGAGTGTACGGATTGTCGTCTTGCATTCGAATCACTTCGGGTGCCATCCACAGTATACTACCCGTTGGTTGCTGTTGTTGTTGACCTCCATTTACAGTCCATTTCGTTTTTACTGTTGCCAATCCGAAGTCTCCTATTTTGACAGTTGACATGTCGTCCATAAGGAAGATGTTATTGGTTTTCAAATCACTGAAAAATATTATTTTTCGAAGGAAAATGTATACTTTCGAGGCTTACCGATGAATAATGTTCTTTGAATGCAAATAGTTCATTCCAAGAGACACCTGCTTGAGAATATCAATGACGGCGCTCATCTCGAACTCCACTCGTGGTTCTTGAACATGAATATGTCTGTAGAGACTCGATCCCTCGCACCATTGTGTGATGATAGCAATTTCTGGTTCTCGGACCCATCCCATGAAGAGAAGAACATTCAAATGTCGTGTCTTTTTTAGCACAGCCACTTCATTTTTGAACGCAGCCATTTGCGAAGGCGTCGGATCCACGACATTCAATTTCTTGATGGCAACAGTTCCAAAGAACTCTCCTCGATACACGGTACCAAAAGAACCAGATCCCACTTTGTAGTGTATCACGAACTCATTCGGCAATATTTCCCAGTCCTCGTGTTGTGGTTTTTGTGGTGGGCGTGGCCTTTGTGCTTCAATACGCTCTCCAGGTGACCGGCTGCGATTTCGGAAGAATCCAGGAGATATCTGAAAATTCTACCTTTTCTTCCAAAACGTTTGTTCTTAAACAAAATTCATACTTTCTGAGGAGGCGCCGATTGTGGCGGCGTCAGCGGCAGAGTGTGGAGATGAGCGGCGACGAGAGAAGACGTTGTGGATCCTGAAACACTACTCGATTGCCCGAGAAGTGTTGGGCCCATGAGACCTCCAGGCGGTGATGAGCACGTGGATGAAGGTGAGTTTGAACCAAGAGGAGTGCAGTCGACTAGAGGGTGCAGGCGGTTCATACGAGAACCTGAAGAACCAAAAATGTTAGTATATGTCAGTATTAAGCGAGTGTAGTTAGAGTTGTTACCTGGAAGAATGTGTCCACTGTAGCAATGTGGTCGACGTGCTTGGGTAGATAGCAACGATCCTGTCTTATCCTTTGACTCCTCTTCCAGCCGTTTTGCTTCCAAAGCATCAAGAATGCGTTGCTGAAAACACCTGATTTAAAAGCTGCTAAAACACAGTCCAATTACATTATGTTGTACAGTAGCCTCATCATTGATAGCGTTGATATTTGGAGCTGATGAGCTACGATCTCGTGGATACGGTCCTGCCGGTGACAATTGTGCTGTTTCTGCTTGTGGAGATACTGCCAATGGGTGTCTCTTGACACCACCCGTTCTTTTGATACTCGTTAAATCTGGATGGGAACTGTCTGGTGTTGCTGCTGGACTTTGTCCGTATGTCGGTGCCAGTCCGGCTAATACAATTTCAGCGACCGACCTGTCGGGGCCGTCATTTTCTGATGCAATGCCAACGAGCTGCTTCACGAGCTGAAAAGTAAAATTTTGTCATCAAAATGAAGCTTAAAACGTACATCTTCATTTTTCGGCACGGATTGTAGCAAGTCACAGTAGAGAGGAGCGAATGAAGAGCATCGTTGGTGGAATTTGAACTGACAGAATTCACATCGAAACCCCATCATCCATATAGGATTGTTGCACACATCACATGACTTTGGGGGAATAAATGTTCTCCGAACAATCGCATGTTTTATAGAGGAAACTGTGTTGAGATACTCGGAATGAACCCATAACTCGTTATCCGGCAAATGTAAAGCAATCTCCTCCATCGTCTTCTGCAATTGAGAGAAAATTGGTTTTTTTGTGGTTGGTTTCCCTAGTAACGGCATGTTGTAGCCCGCGTCCACTACTTTTGGGAACTAGTCTCCCAATTTCACTCCTACCTTTTCTTACAATTCACTAAGTATTCCTACTCACCGATAAATCAATGGCCTCTGTTTTGGAATCAGGAGAAGTATTCACTTGGCACAATTGAGGGGTAATGTTCCGTTTTTTGAGTAATTTTGAAATAGCATCTCGAGCTGTCTCACCAGGTCGAACCTGAGATCATTATGTAGTTAGGATTAGTTAAGTCGGGCTATAACCCACTTCTACTCTTGAATGCTGATCGAACGGTAGATGAACCATGATCATCTTGTATTTGAACTTCGGTGGTTCTTTGTCACTTGTCCCCACTCCTGAGTGATCATGTCCGGATAATGAATGAAGACTATCACTGTGTTTTGGGTAGAGAGGAGTTGAGGGGCTTGCCATCGGGGATCCTTGATCCTGAAGGATAATTAATTGCTTTTGAGAATGCGGGTCTTGTGAAGTTTAGATAGAGAACAGTAGAGTACAGTATAGCATCTCCCTTCCCCACATCAATTCACTCTCCCACATAGAACATATAGTTTGTTAGATCTTCAAGCCTCTGTTACCTTTCGATCAATAGAAGAAGAAGCGCATCTCGGTAGGCTTATTAATCTAGGAGACGGGCAATGCGGACTTGTCGGAGTCGTCGCCGCCGACGACTTCTTCAAGTTTATTCGGCTCATCCGGTCAAGTATAGACGACGATGAATCGGATGATGATGATGGCGTTTGAGATGACGTGACAAGAGACTTCTGAATCGTTGTTAGTGAATACATAAAATTAAGAAACGTAGAGACAATTCAGACGGATTGGACAGGGACATTTAAGACGGAGATTGAGACATATTGGAACACATAATACAAGCTGACAGAATAATAACAAATTTTTTTGTTGTGGAAATATGTAAATGTTTTATGTTAATTCTTCATTAATTATGCACAATTAATTGTTCATTAGAGTTGATACAAAGGACTATCTGACAGTTCATTTCCGTCAAAAACTCAGGTGATTTTGCAATGCACGTGACTAACACTCGCCCTGTGTAGCTATTTCTTAGACCCGAATCTAGATTCGAATCTCGCCCAAAAAATAATATTTTAAGGCGCAATGTTTATTCAACTTTTTTCTTCCATTTTTTTGAAGCATTTGAATACTATTTTACACCCGATTTCTCAATATTCCTTATTAATTGACCTTGTTTTTTATTCATATGCTAGTTTCAAACGCACCGCGAAACAGGAGCATTCCATCAAATAGGACAGTGATTTTCCAAAAAAAAAAAGTAGTAAGGACAAAAATCAATAAAAGTTCGGCGATAGAAGGTCAACAAAGGAAGGAAAGGAAGCGCAAAGATGATCTTTTTTCTTTTCCGAGAGGAGTACACCTCGCAAACTAGTCCGCGGGACGAACTTTTGGCAAGCTCTTCCACGAAAATTTTGGAAAACTTTTGCAGGGTTTCTGAAGAGAAAGGGAAGGAATGAGTAGATGAGGACTAGGGGAATTTTTACCAGAACTATTTAGAGAAAAAATAGAGATCATCCTCCAAATTGGAGCATCGCACTTACCGGTGCTGATTTTCTGCGGTTCCATCCACCATGAAAGTGGCAGACGGAATAGAGAACTGCCATAGCCGACATTTTTAGTTCAGTACATCTGTTCTCAATTTCTGTTGAGAATTTAAGTTCAAGAGCTCAGTTAGTCCTGGAATAGAATACTGGTTTATCAGCAGGTGCTCTCAGTGCCAATGGGTCCCGCCAGAAAAAAATATGGGCGGAGTTTGTTTTTCTCATTTTTTCCGTTTGGTTTCTGTGCTTCACCTCGGGAGGCAACACAGAGAAGATGTGTAAATTGGGAGGGGCACGTGGCACACCGGTAGAAAGAACTACTAGGTAACAATGTTTTCAGCTAACTATAAGGGCCCTGAAAACACAACCTAGCTACGTGAAACGCTCGAAAGATCGGAAATAGGTTAGAGCACTCTTTGTGAGAAACACGGAAACAATACGGGATACTAGTAATAATGGAACTAGGAACTAGTTAGGCGCTTCTGAGAAACTTATGTAATTGTTCTGAAACTGACAATCTAGACAACTATGCTAATGACATGTTGCAGAAAAGGTTTCACGATTTTCGATTGAAATCTGTGTCTAAAAACAGAACAAAGTTTATCTGGACTTTTAAAGTCGGCCTTATTGATAATCACATATTGGCAGGACCGAACCTAGTAGGACCGTGAACACTCTAGATTGAAGGGAACACTATACTTGCACTTTGAGCTCATATATCTCCGTTCCTGGGAAAGATATCAAGAAGTGGCCAACTGACAAAATGTTCATCATAACAACAGAAATTTTTTGTTAGTTGTCTACTTTTTTAAATCTTTCACCGGAACCGAGATATATGAGCACAACATTAGAGTGTTTACAGTGAAAGTAAATCAATTAGTGCCTTCGGATAAATACGGTAGCTAATCTCAAAGATCAGAATGATAGCCTTCTCGGAAAATCTTTGAAAAAAATCATTCAGATCAGGCCGCTTATTGTGTTCTGTTTCGCTAGATTCCACTCTCCGTTCGTCGTCCTTTTTTCTAATTTCCGCCGTGGTTATCCACTTGGAAAAGTGTGACTTTTGAATAGAGAGAAACAAAATACACTATACTCGTTTTTCCGGCATCTCAAATCAAGTATATAGAGGTCACTCCAAATATTTGTGCAATTCTTTTTTTCGCGATATATCCTGCAAGAAGTCCAAAATGCAATGAAGCACGTAATACAGAAATAAATAAAACTATTTTGAACCCTGACCTATTTTGAGTTTTTTTTTGACAGATTACTTGGGAATCGCTGGAAACTGCGAATTTCAGAATCCCTTTTTGCCACGTGGTTTTGGTTCATCCACTCTTTATGTACACTAGAACGTACGCAACTATGTGTTGTACATTCTTTGAAACAGTATAGTATTCTTTGTGTCAATAAAAACTTCAAAGTTCAGAAATCGCTGTGTCTTGGAACTACTACTTTTCTGTATAGTTCGGTCTTTTCCATCACTTTCTCACTTGCTCTTTTGCTCCTCTTTTTTCTATCTGGTCACCGAGAAAACATTGATCGTTGATTCTCTGTCTGATCGTCTATTCCTCTCAATCTCTACTGATCTGAAATCAGATCAGTGCAAGAAGAGAAGAAGGAGAAGAAGTAGAAGACAGTGGAGAATATAAATGATATTATGTGTTTTTGAGTGATTTGTTGGTGGTAGCGATAAAAGAGAGAAACAAAAAGCACCTGTGAGGATCTAGGTGACTTTTGAACTGTTTTGTAGAGTCTTATATATTTCTGAGGATACTGTAAGATCGCAGTATTCTTGTACAAGGTCTTGGTATCTGTCAAGTTTCTACTTGAACGGAATACTGCTCCTCATTGTTTCAAAATCCGTATCTTCTGGAAACTTAACAGTTGGGGTTCTTTTTCTGGATCACATCCTCCTCCTCCATTCATTCCAAATCAACAATTCAAAGTTTCGATTTTTTTTTCTGCGTCAGGTGATCCATCTTGACTCGAATCTAAGGAACTACGTCAATCAGTCATGACCTATATATTTCATCACAACTCGAAAAGAGTTCAGAAGAGTAGAAAAGAGAAGAAGAAAAAATAGAAAACATCTTGGAATCTTTTTTCTAGAACAGAAGATAGAGAGTCGGGTCGGGAGACAAGTCATGATCTCTCTATCCTTCTCCCATCGTTTCAAAAAATTGAAGAAGAAGAAAGAAGAAGAAGCCAGTGTAATTTCTCAAAAAGTGTGTGCAAGATGAACATGCACCGATCGGGGTCCCACCTTGGAAACGCGAAAACAATAGGGATTGAAAAAAAAATGAAAGGAAGGGATTTTAAAAGTATCCAAGAGAAGGGTTACTGTAGATGACGAAATTCAATGAATGCTGGGATGGTATTGTTTCAATTAGACTAATTAGGACCCTCTTCCAACTGAAAATTAACACAAACTACAATCGTTTAAACGAGATTCTTCTTGATAGAGGAACTTTTCCTAATTTTGATTAAATTCAATTAAAAATAAGATTTCCTTATTAGCCTTTTCTATGAGACTAAGAATCGCTTTATCTTGAAGCATAATCTGTGAAATCCAGTAGGTCACTAACATTAATGTTGTCTCCTTCCTATCAGAAATCAAACTGCAACGAGATGAACACATGACATTAGATTTGCAAAAGGATTAACAAACTCTCGTAAGATCAGTATTTTTTGCACTTTCTCACCAAAAAGATAATCATGAGAGTCCCCCATAAGAATTTAATAGAAAGGAGTCTGATTGGTCACTCTGGAATGAGGAAAGAAAACTGCAAAAACCATGTGAGCAAAAGAGAGAGAGAGATATCTGTTGGTTTTCAACAAGTTGCCCCGGGCAACGGTGCTTCCGAAAAACACAGACGAACGAAAATAAAAATAATATCAGCTTTCTGAGAATTAGAGCAATGAAAGAAGAGCTAGAAAAGAGACACTGAAGAGGATAGATATTTTGAAAGTCCTCTTTAAAACTTTAGTGCAATTAATCATGTCTCGAGAGCTAGAAAATGGCGTCATATTTCGAATTATTGTGGGTTACTGTATATTTTGATTTTGAGCCTCTAAGCCTACTAACATAATAAAGGAAAATAATATAAAATTTGAACCCTGATAAATGCAAAATCCTTTTGAAATTTATTCAAAACTAGATTTCCATGACCTCCTTTTTTTGTAAAATATTACTGAAAATTGACTTTTTCGGTACTAATTTGGACAGACTTCAGAGACAATTTAATCAGTTTCTACATTTCAAATCCCCTAAAAAAGTTTTTGGTATATACATTTGTCATTTGGGCCCATTTTAATACAAGCACTTTACAAAAACCAAGACTTTTAAAATTACCGTACTTCACTACTTGATGCCCACCCAAACCATCAACTTTGAGCTGAATTATCTCGATTCCTATGAAAGATATCAAAAATTTGTCAACTGATGAAATATTTATCAAAATATCACCAATATTTTTTCAGTTGACACTTTTTTGGCGCCTTTCACAGGAACCGAGATAATTGAGCTCAAAGTTGACAGTTTGAGTGGGCTTCTGTCAGATGAAATAAGGTAATTTTCCAATTCTTGTTTTTTGTTAAATGTCGGAATTTGACAGTGAAAAAATGCCTGAAAGTTGGTAGTCGGAATCCCTGACATCTTCGGTTTGATTGGAAGAGTTGCTAATTCACAACTCGAAAAGTAGAATAAATTGTAATTGAATGATTCCAAATCGAGATCCGAATTAAATGTGAAACAATCTTTCGAAACGTTTCCGTTAATTTCTTAAATGAATTTCACTAAACAAAGATTACGGTAGGTATCACTGCAATCCTCGCAATTCATTTTTAAGGGTTTTATGTATCGATATCTCACAAGCTTCTGAACGGAAACAACTGACCTCATACCAACAGTGAATAGAATAAGATCGCAACGTTGCCATTCTAGATTTAGTTTCCCGAAATACTCTAGACTATGATTTCATGGAAAATAAGTTCCCCCAGCCCAAGAACCGAACAATACAATATTCGAGGCTAGGACGCTGAAAACATGTCTAGCCTAAGCATTCGAGACTCATTGGAAACTTCCTTGGAATCTATCCCTCTCCTTTCCTCTTTTCTAATCTCTCACCTATTAAATAGGCGGTCAAATGAGTCATGAAACTTGCAATCTTGACAAGAACAAAAGCTCCTCCAAGAGCAATTGGCATCCAGAAGAACAGATTCTCTTTTTTTTTCTTCTCAACTGTGGTTGAAAAGAGAATAGGTGTAATAATGGAGCCGCGAATATATATCTCTTTTTTTTCTTCCACTGCAGATTTTTTCCCAATTTTTCCACTTATTCCAATTGATGACAATGGAGAAGAGGAATTTTTAAGAATAGGAAAAAGAAAAAGAAGAGAATGGGTAATGGAGTGATTTATGAATTGGAGGACTTGATAGGGAACAAGTGATTGGAAAGTGGAATAAAGATTAAGTGATATATGGTCTTATAAGGGTTTTTCAAATTTCTCAAGTTCCTTATATCCAGTTTTCAGAGATTCCAAAGGTTACTGTATTAATCAGAAGCTAAATCAATAAATTCAAAAAGCCTGCTATGATACTTGGGCACAAAAATCAAAACTGTTGAAGAGAACCGTCGGCGGCTATGGCCGAGAATCCAGAAACGAAAACTACCGTAACCTAAAACTATTTTTATGTTCCGGTTTGATTATCTCGATTATCGTGAGTTTTCAGTCATTTTTTTTTGTTTAGCAAAAGTTGTTAATTTCCGACTAATGTTGAAAAAATAACAAAAAACTTGGCGAAAAGTAGTAATAAACGAGAAAAATACGGGAAAATATACAATTAGGTTACTGTAGTTGTCGTTGTGGGACTTCCAACGACTCCGATTTTATTAGTCAGAACAATAATTTAAAGTGTTAAAAATGTGTTAAAAAGAAGACCATGTGTCAGTTAGGTTTGACTCATGAGAAATGATGGAAAATGAAAGAGAGAAGTCTTGTTTGTTTGGAGCAAAGAGTCATATGGGAGAAAAAATAGTAACAAACATGTTTTCTAGAAAAATTTTGCATTTGAAATTAAAGTTTTTTTTCCATTTCTTTTTTCTGACTGTGTATCTGAATGTCATGGAAGGGAAATGCCAGTGATCGTGGCTGAAGTTCTCACAACGACAACTACAGTGACCTAAAAACATGTTTGTTCTCAGGATTTTTTTCTCGTTTTCACTGTTTTTGATGAAAAAAAATATATATCAAGCAAAAAAATCCTGAAAAATAAAGTTTTTGGTTACGGTAGCGGAACCTTCGGCTACCGAACACCGGCATTCCTTCGCCACAGCTCCGACTTTTTTGTACCAGCATAATATAGCTTCGCGCAATTTTTTATTACTGTAATCATGTACAGTACCATCTTTTCAAATCAATAGGCCCGGTCTATAAGTTTTTAAGAAAAGAAAACTAACCATGATAAGACAGGAGAACATAATTGGAAATGGCAGTTCAGTTGAAGACTTAAACCGATATAAGGAGAACTGAACTGATGAAGGAGGGAACGAAAAAAAGATACATGAGTAATTGACAAACAGAGAAAACAGACTAAAGTTCCCCAAAAAGTGAAAGTTTCGGTTTTATTTCCACAAAAAAAAGCCTTCCTTTGAAATGGCCGGGCAATGGCAACGAAAACTGATAGATACAATGGAAAAGGGAAACTGAAGATAATATGATAAAGGTTCAGAACTTTAATTCTTTCTTCTGTCTCAGGTTCCCATAAACTTTGGACCACTCGTTTTCTTTAAATAGTCTGTATATCCGGAAATAAATCATTTTTGTGCTCTTCTCTTATTCCTACGTTATTCTCTAGTTGGTCAGTGGGATTGTGTGGGAATCTGATACCTAACCTTTTTCTTATTGGGTTATTTTTGGACACTTCTGACCTATTTTTAGCATTTATTCATTTATTCACAAGCTTTTTTTTGGGATTCTGGTTACTTTGAGAGGATGAGGGAAAAATGATAAAATAGGAGTGGGAACTTTTTTCGTATTTGGGAACTGGAAACGGCAAAATTGAAATCATGGCCTAATGGGATTACTGTTTGATTTTTCGAGTTTTGTAGTTGATTTTTTGGTTGATTTTGAGAAGAAGTACCATCAGCTGAAGGTCCAACAACGAAAACTAACGTAACCTAAAATCATTTATTTCATTGTAGTTTTCGTTGTGGGACCTTCCGTCACTGCCAGTTATTTTACTATCAAAAATTTTTACTTTTCCGACTTGTTTGGGGAAAAACAACAAAAAAATCAACGAAAATCATTAAAAACGAAAAAATACAGTTATCTTCGTTCCGGGACCTGTGCAATTTTTCTTCCCCCGGGCCCGCTTATATTCCAACAAAAAATTGGCGCGAGAAACATAAGTAAAGTTTGCAACCATTAAAACATTCAAGATTCAACAAACTCGTTTCCACCTGCTTGCAAAAACTCGTTAGCTAAATAATATATCCTCAAAGCAATTTCCCATTTATTTTTCTGTTTTTTTTCGCTGCGAGACCGCGATTTAATTTTATCTCAGACACGCGAATACAATTCATCTAATCTAGGCACGGATCTATTTTCAGCAGACAGAACACGAAAAAAATACGAATAAAAGTCGTCTAATAATGGGTCTTATAGCGTGCTGGGTATCACATAAAAAAGCAATAAATGGCGTGTGAGATGAAAAGATGAAATAATGAGCTCTCTCTCGTTATTCTGGCTCACAGAGCACAAAAATTGGAGCAGAGCCCAAAAAAACCGAGCACGAAATTTGTTAGGTTCCCTTCCAGTTCTCTCCCAAAAGAGAGACCGAGAGCTACGGAAATGGAAATGGCAATATAAATGGAGCACAGAGCCCAGAGAGAGAGAGAGAGAGAGTGAGCTCTCGGGGACTCCGTGTGCTCCGCGAGCCGCCGAGACTTTCTCCACATGTCTGCGTCGCTAGAATTTCAGCAATGTTCCCCTTTTTTTCTCCCTTTTTTGGCATCACACAGTCCACTCGTCTTTTTCGACACAATTTTTCTTTTTTCCTCTTCCTCTTCTGTTCAGTTTTTTCTCTGTTTTCCACGGGTTTCTGGCTAGTTTTGTCCAGGCAATGACACACGGAGGCGGAGCCAGCAGAAGCGTGCGCCATGGCTGCGAAACAGCGTGCCGCACCTTGCGAAACCGAGAAGACTTAGACTCCGCCCACCTTTTGATCAGATTTTCAAATTTGGCCGTCAATGCTTGTATTTTGCCAATTTTTCTGATTTTTCTTCTTAGCATCGAAAAGTGAAATTTTGGCTACTGACATGACTACTTTCCAGTTCATACAACAACCTCTGTTTCCTCTAATGGCTTATTTTAGAAGTTCTTCCTAAATTGTGGAATTCGGGAAAAACTGTGTTTTAGACAAATTTTCTCAAAAGTATGGGATTTAGATAATCTTAATAGAAGGCTCTAGATCTTGTTTATTGTAATCTGATGTTTTTTGTTCTCTTTCAAGCCAGATATATGAGGATAAAAAATGATGCTGACAAATTCGTTTTTCTGTTTTTCTTTAAAATTCTGAGTTCTTTCGTTGACGAATCCCTCTTATGAATCTTAGAAAGAATTTATAGGCTGCCTGTGGTTTTTTTAATGTTTCGATATCGTTTTTATTAGCTGACGGGAAGTGTTTTCAGAGGGGCGTTGAGAATTAGCTCAAAATTTGTACAAAGGTACTTTCGAACATGTTGAATACGATTTCAACAATATCTCGGTCATAACCCTGATAGGAACAAAAATATGGGCTCTCAAAATGTTTTCAGTACTAAATTTTGACCAAAAACGTGCATTTTTCGAGCTTTAAAACTCTTTTTTCAGGATTTTTTCAAGCGGGAAACTTTTTTTTGATCATTTCTCTATCATCTGAAATATTTTTTGTACAATTTCAAAAAAAAAATTTTCGATTTTTGAAAAAAAATCATCATGGGGTACCCCACACTTTAAAAGTGATTTTTTGAGAAATTTTTTTGAAAGTTCAAAAAAGTCTTTCAAACATTCAGAAGTGATAGAAACATCATTTTCACAGAATTCGGCAGCTCGATTTCGTCTGTGAGCCCTGATAATTCCCAAAATCTGATAATTGCAAGAAATTTGAAAAACTGTAACTTCTCAAATATTGCTCAAAATCGCACGGAATACACAGAAATATGTAAAGATCATTTGAGTGATAGATTTGGTGGTGTTCCACTCAAAAAAAAAGCAAGACGGAGCAATTCCGAGAGTCGAAAGTTTTGCTTTTGGGCGATAGGACAAGTCGAAAAAAACGATATTTCAAAATGTCTTTAAAATTTCAAACACCTTCTTTTTCATTTTGAAAACGTCGGAATTCATGAAATAAGTATAATTTGTTATTCAGGGTACCAAAATGGATATCGAAAGTTAGTCTCGAAAAAAACAAAAAAAAGATTTACCACAGTGGGGTTCGAACCACCATAGTCACTCTTAATGAGTCTCCCTCTTACCGCAACACCACACAGCCGATATTATCCTGTGGCGCGGAGTGCGTATAGGAGAGAGGGGCGTAGTGGAGTGAGGGAGAGGGCGAAATCGACCAAAAACATTTCCGACGAAGATTTTCAGCTTGTTGATGATACTATGACCTAGATTTTTTCGTCATCGTGTTGCGGATATCTCAAACTATCAGTACTGAAACTTTCAGAAAATTCTCAACGCCCCTCTGAAAACACTTCCCTTGTGAGTTTTAAGGTGCTTTAAATTTGTTAACAAAACATCAAGGTTTTGTTTCAAGTCCAACTGTCAGATTTGTCTAGTTTGACATAAATACCTTGTGTTTTTCATTCCCACTTGCTCTTAGGACATTTTTATGTTATCATCTCTGCTGACACTTCCACGTCATATCATGTGTTTTTTGCCGCGCACCTCACTCACTACTATTCTAGATTTGAATTTCAGGTGGGATCACTCATATTCAAATTAAAGTGACGATGCCAACACCTGAAGATGTTCCAATGGACGATCATGAAAATGTAGAAGTTGCTGAGAAATCGAATGAGCAGTCCAACGGCCAAGTAAGAATATTACAAACGTAACTTGTAGAACTGATGATCCATGGTTTTTAGAGTTCGCCGACCCGTGAGGATCTGCAGAAACTTCTTCAGCGAGTGGAAAGAGCTTCTTTAAAGGAAAACGAATCTTGGTTCTTGATCAGCCAAAAATGGTGGAACGCCTTCGTTAAATCAGTTCGAGATGGATTTATCGAAGATGCCGGACCTATCGATAATTCGCAAATATCTGAATGTGAGTTTTCAGAGAAAAACTACTCTGGATGATATTTCCTAGGTCGCCAAGGAGTGTTTTACCTGAAACAGAGGCTTGCCGAGCAAATAGACTACACCACCATTCCGGAGGATTGTTTCAAAGAACTTGTTCGTTACTTCGGCGTAGACGATGAACGTCGTGATTATATCGAGCGTCAGGTTATCAAGAAGAACAACAGCTTATCTGTCGATGTGTATCCCCGAATCATTTACGTAAGGAAGTGCACTAACTCACTGTGAGAAAGTGACAATTTCAGATTGCGCTGGCGAGAAACAGAGCTATGAAAGTTGAACTGATTCTGAAACCGGAGGATACCATGGGTAAGAAAAAAACAGTAGGAAAAACTGATGCAATCCTCTGGTTTCAGTGACGCTTCGAGATCGAGTGATTCAAGAACTTAACCTCAACGAAAGCGACAGTATCAGATTTTACGTCATGAATGATGAGAATCCTGAGCTCATTGACACTACCCAATCCATTGACAGTTATTTTGATACTGTTCAAAAGGTACGATAATATACAGAATCGAAAATATTATCATAATTTCCAGGTGCTGGTCGACGTTGAAGAGAACGGAGAGTTCTTTTTCAAGAATAAAAACCCTACGCAACCACAGTCGAAATCCTTATTTGGAAACCAATCTTCCTCGTAAGCTACATTTTTGCAATTTCGATTCAGGTTACAGATATTATGTGTTCTTTGTTTAGTCTTTTCACTTGTCAAGTCCTATTTTCTATCATCTCATCGAAGAGCCTCCAAAAATTCCTACTATTCTGCTCATTTTCCCCTCTACAGAGACTTGGATTCTGAGATCGAACTGGATGATGATGATGAATTCACTATTCGACTGCCCAAACCGAAATCAAATAATCGCCGTCGCCAGTTCTCAACCTCCACCGTCTCATCAGCCACTTCCCGAGTCCTAATGCCGTTTCTGGCGCTATGGCTTGGTTTTCGCGAACTCTGGTGGGGGTTCAGCCAAATATGGCCAAATGGATTACGACAAATGGTTGCCCTTGTGTTTGGATGGTCTATTTTTCAACCGCCTAACTATGCCGCAAGGTTCGGTTTTTGGAGAGATTGATTGTTGTGTAGAAATAACGTCGGCATCCTCGTCTCCACCGCCATCATAACCAATGTTGAGCACTTCCTTCACTCTTACGATCACCCTGACTCGGCAAGAATATCGTTCATGAGAAGCGATTCACTGACTAATTGGCGTGTGTGCTGTTTGGGTTGACAGTTAGGAGATCACTAAATCTTCAACTAATCAAGCCACGTGACTATTGTGTGGCACCAGCCAGCATCGACTATACTCCTATGAAACGTGTTAAGTTTTGTTGTGATGGCGATGAAGCAGAAGTCCTACATCTGGTGTGAATGGATTCGTTTCCATTGGAATATCTTCGTTTTTTACGTTTTCATTCTACCTAGAGACTGGATTAGAGGGTAATCAGCGAGTAATTGTGTTGTTTGATATGTCGCTTCCCATGTTCGATGGTCATGTTTATGTTTATTTTATCGTACGGAGGTTTTTCGATGTGATGAAAGAGATATGATGGCTGGTGGGGAAGAGGCGAATAATGTTTCTGTCAGCTAAATTTCAATTTTTTTTTCGAAAACTTTATATCGCTCAAATTCTCTATACAAATTTTTAAGAAATTCAAAATTCTAATCGTAAGCACTATGTACAGAAGTATGGTTTTTTTCAGACTTGGTGGAAATGGAAACGGTGCATCAAACTCGTATTCATATTCTTCTAGCAGCGCCCACCGTACTACCCCTGGTGCTTGTGGATTGTCAAATCTCGGAAATACATGTTTCATGGCATCTGCACTCCAATGTTTGAGCAATGTGCCTCCTCTGCGTGATTATTTCCTTAACAATAAATACACTGAGGATATTAACGATGAGAATCCGCTGGGGACGAGGGGAAATCTGGCTTTGGTAAGAGGAGGAAAACGTTTCGTGCTCAGAACATCAAATATTTTTCAGGCTGTCGGAGAGCTGATGAAGGGAATGTGGAGTGGTGAATACTCTTCCATAAATCCTCGTAAATTCAAAGGAATCATTGGACAGTTTGCTCCACGATTCAACGGTTACACGCAGCAAGACGCACACGAGCTGATGGCCTACATGCTTGATGGCCTTCACGAAGACTTGAATCGTGTGAAACAGAAGCCTTATATCCAAGATAATGACGAGGATCAAAAGCTTCCAGAGGCTGAGTATGCTGCCAAATCATGGCACTCGTATAAACTACGAAACGATTCTATCATCGTTGACCTTATGCACGGCCAGCTCAGATCGACATTGGTTTGTCCGGTTTGCGATACCGTCTCGATCAAATTCGATCCGTTTGGATACATTTCCCTACCTCTTCCCGCCAAAGAACAAATAGTGAGGCAGACGGTTATCGTCATGTTTCTGGAACGAAAATGGGCCAAGTTCTCGTTGGGAATAACAGATACTACGACTGTCGAAGACGCCGAGAGATTGATGCTGGAAAAATTACAACCAGAGAAGAAGCATCATGTATGACTCAATAGGTTGTTGTAGCAAACCGTTTTAAATTTTCAGTTTGTCTTCTTCCATGTTCCCAGCCAATATCATGATGATATTACCGTTCTCAGGCCAAGTGATAAGGTCAGAGTTCCAGGTCGGGAGGTTTATGTAGCGGAAGTTGAGCATGATCTGTCGGTGAAAGGAACACGTATTTTCGTTGCATAGTGAGTTTTATATTACAGTTTGAAGTAAATAAATAACCCAATCCAGCAACCGTATCAAACTGCTTCGCCCCGCCTCTTTGCCAATGATCTATTCTCTTCCACCAGGCGACGTATTGACACGTGGATTTTTGAATGACCATGTTTTCGCAACAACGAAAAAGTTCTTCATTAACCAGAAGATCTCTGTGGATGTGGCTGCAAATTCAAATGATGAGGATTCGATGAATGGCAGTAACTCAGCTGACGAGCGTGAGCCATACAAACTTTTTGCCGGACCACCAGGTACACAAACTCCTCTTCCGATTCCTCCAACCGACGAACCAATCGCGTTTCCTAACGAAAATTCGCATGACGTCTATCATAATTTCTTGCAAATCAGCTTCCAATGGAAAGATTCAAAACTGTTCAACAACTACAAAGGGTTGGATTTGATAGAACGCGAGATGACCGTTTCCACTCGTAGAAAAGTCTTTCTCGAAGAAACTCTGGATTGGTACACGAAGAAAGAGCAATTAGGAGAGCAGGATTCGTGGTACTGTCCAAAGTGTAAAAAACACGAAAGAGCAACGAAGCAATTGGATATGTGGAAATTGCCTGAGATTCTTGTGCTGCATCTGAAGAGATTCCAATATACCAAGTGGTCTCGCGAGAAGCTGACATGGGAGGTCGTCATTCCTGTGCGGGGACTCGATTTGACCAATAAAATTGTTAATCCAAACCACGAGAAAGCAATTTATGACTTAATCGCCGTATCTCGTCATTATGGATCGATGAGCGGAGGACATTATACAGCCGCAGCGTTCAATGATCATGCACAAAAATGGTATGACTTCAACGACTCGAGTGCTAGTGCTACTTACCCACCAACTGATCCATACGAGTCGTCTGACCCTTACATACTCGTCTACAGACGACGGCCGTTAGATTCCAGAGGAGAACCTCTTGAGCCTGAGACAACTGCTATTGGTGAGCTAATTCATTGCGTTATCAGAAATCGAAAAAGTTGAGTTTGCAGCATCCCAAGCTCGCCCGAAACGAGGAGCCGCTCCATCCATTTCATCAGCTACGACATCGTCAGCTTCTTCATCTCGCCATCAAGTTGATGAAAATATGGAGATGGAGGAAGATTGAAGGCGTCCTCCGACAAAAATGTCCAAATTTTCATATTAACTGAATTATTCGAAGTGTGATTTGTCATATAATTTCATGAAAATTTGAACATTTTTGTCGGATAGGAAACGATTCTATAACATCGCGGCGGTGTTCTTTCCTCGCTTTGCTCCTTTTTTTCTGGTTTTGAGCTGTCTGTTTTGTTCAAAATCATTGTCACACCGCCACCTTTTTTTGTGTTTCGTGTGTCTTTCCATCTATTCATTTCATTTTTTTTGTGAAACCATGTTCCATGGAGTTTTAAGGTTTTCTACTGCTCATTTTCTCATGATTATTCGCTTCTGTGATTTCCCATTTCTTTCTATTCAGATTTTCTTTTTCTATGTCCCATTAAACGTTTCGAGTTTTTTTTTCTCCGCACAAATCCAAGTTTTCCCTGTCTCCCCTCTTCCACCCAATCTCTTCTAAACTCTTCTAACGATACGGTGTTTGTGTGTCTCTGAATATAGGATATTGTCCTTTACTCGTTTCTAACGATTATCTAATTTTTCCCTTTTTGTCATCATCTCTCCTCCGTTTTCTTATCACCATGATCCCGTTCTTCTACAAATGTGTATGTGTGCTTCTCTCTTACCCTTTTCTACAGCTCCCGCGGACCCGTTTCATCTTTGCTCCTATTTCCAGCTACCCAGTGTTTCTAATCTATAATTCCTAAAGTGTGTGGCGTGGCATTTTCAATTGTTCCCTTCTGGTTTAATGATTGCAACTTATTTTTTCCCGTTTTTTGGGAAACTTATTATTGATGAACTGCTTTTTTGACACGAAATTGTTTTTTTCTGAGCTCTCTTACAAAGTCGAACTATCGAAACAGATTTAACTTCATCGCAATCAAAGAAACATGTAAATTATTTTCTTAGCTTCTAGATGTCATTCTCCTCATGGCTCTCTCGTCGACTATTCTCCATTTTGGATTCAGATCGCGTTTTCGAAGAAATGGATCGTATGAAATTGGAAGAGAAGATGCTAGAAAGCCAAGAATCAGAAGATAGAATCACTTTGAGCTCCAAACGAATTCTGTCCTCTTTTGTGGTAGCAGTTGGTGGGATTACGGTAGCTAAGAGTTATCAGGTTGAAACTTGGAAGTTAGCTAGCGCTGGAGCTGGAATAGGACTACTGACTGGAATCACAATGACAATTTACCTTTGGTGTCAAAAGAGAGCAAGATGTATTCGAAAAGTGATTGTACAGCTAGAGAGAACGAAAACAGCGCTTCGGAAAAGAAGACAAGTGTTTTTCAGGTAAAAAGTGGCATTCCTATTACCTGTGAAGTTTGAGTTTTTTTTCAGTGTATCAATGAGAATCCCGCGAAGCCGTCACCCATTAATTCTTCGTTCATGTCGAATCGCTGTTTCTTTAATTGAATGTCTCGTTGAAAAAACAATACCATTGAATTCCGGATCCACGTGGCAAGATCTGTATACAGATGAAATCAATGAAATCGTAAAGCGAAGCTCGGAACATCCGGAGATTTTAAGAATTGAAGAAACCGAAAGAGAAGAAGACGTTGACTTTGAAGCCATCTTTGAGATTCTAATTGCAGTGTTTAAGCTGCACGCGAGTGAATATTCTCGAGTTGTTATCATTGATTTTTTAGAATTTGTTTGCTTCCGAAACTTTCGGAGGTTTCTTGAAACTTGTGGAGTCCTTCAATCGTTTTTACATAGTTTGGAAACAATAGAACGATTGGCTCTGAAAAGTGAACGCGAAAAATCATCGAAAAACACAGAGAAGCAGAAAGGAGAACGAAAAATTCAAATGGACATGACTATAGAATGGAGGCAACAAACCGTGATGGCTCTAGAAGCAATTTTAGAGTCATTGGAATCTGAAAATGTGCAAAGATCTCAAGTCGAATTGGCCCTTCATAAAACACTTGTGATTGTGGGATCTGAGAAGATTAATAATCCAAAAACAGAAAATTCTGGAATACTGCAAACAACACCTGAGGATAACCTTGAAGTAATCATGATTGAAAAAGGAAAAGGAGAACGGACAGATGTGGATATGGTATTCGAAGGAGTCCCTCTATCAGACGCAGATAAATTGGCAGCTTCAAAATCTACAGTAGCTCGAGATGTTCTTCTAGATGGATCTGAAGGAAGACGTCATCAAGCGAGTCTTTTTGGAGAGCTTCAATTAGTTCTGGAACCTAGAAGAACCAATTTTGAGAAGCGAGAACGGGCGGCACTTGCAAAATTCTATGGTGTGGATGAGAATCAATTGGAAAAAATGGAAGAGAAAAAAGAAGAAGAGGTTTATAGATTTTGAGATATCCCAGCTATTATCGAAATTTATATATTTCAGACATTCGAGGGAGTTGGAGCAGGCGGAGATGAGGATCCAGAGCCATATGACTGGAGGAAAGATGCAGAGACAAGTGCTGGAATCCATCAGGGAGCCGATTATGATGACTTCTTGAAAGCTTTAAAATTGAGACGTGTTGAAGATGACATTATTGAATAAAATATTGAGCATGATCTACAGTAATCCAGAACCACGTGGTTCCCTCAGTGGGATATCAGCAGACTATTAAGCGACGATAGGCACATGACACTCCTTTTGTTCCCATTGTTGTTGGAGCTTTGGCCGCATTTTATAGTTTTCAGTACAAACATTTTCGCAACTTGGCTGGTGTAATTCGTGTAGATTGTGGAGTTTTTCGGTCGTTTTATGTTCAACACTGATAGCTTTAGATCCTCTAAATTTTGAACTTGTTTTTGAGAAAGTGTGACATGAAAAATTAAATTTCATTATTATTTTATGAATGCATTAAATATTGTTTTCCGGCTGGTTTCCAATAAACTTTCAAGTCGGTTTTCCAAGAGATTCCGATTATCCGTCAACAGTCCGTCGACGGTCCGTCGGTTCTCCTTCGGCTGTCAACTAGCAGTCATTTACCAGTTCGCGCCTCTTCAGCAGTCTTATAGTCGTTTTTCGGTAGTGCCCTTTTTCCTGTTAATTTAAAAGATCTTTAAATTACTTGATTTTTAAAGTCCTGAAATAGTTTGTTTATGCTTTCAAGTCTCTTTTAACATTCTGACATTGAACTGTTTCCCGTAATAGAAGGCCCCCACCCTAACTTTCCCATTGTTATTAGAGCCAATTTATCTCGGTTCCTGTCAAAGAAATGAAAATTTTGTTAACTGACAAATTGTTTATCATAAAATCATAAGTTTTTTTGTCAGTTGACATATTTTTGATATCTTGCATAGGAACCGAGATAATTGAACTCAAACTTATCAGTGTGAAAGCCAGTCTAATACAAGTTTTTACGGTATATTGTTTCCTGTCGAAGGTATTATGCTCGTATGCAAACTACGGAGCTCTGAAAATCTGGTGGACGACCGAACTACCGTAATTAGTAAATTGGAAAAATTTCGTTACGGGAACCATTGGCCACGCCCACAAGCTTGTCTCTTCTACAGCTCCAATTCATTACACAAGAATAATATCAACATCTTATACAATTCTTATCTGAAATCAATTTCATAGTTTTTTTAAAAATTCTCTTACACTTATCAAGAAAAACAGTGTTATCAGTATAATACATATAAACAAATTTATCTGGAATCTTCCGATGAGTCACTGAAGAAATTGTACTTCTGATCAATGGTTTATCACAAATCTCGCGCGCGCGCGACTGCTCTCATAAATAAGCACATATTAACATTTTTGAAAAGGCTACAATTTCTATATCCACACGCTCTCTACTAGTACAATCCTCCTCATACATTTCTCTTGCCAGATGCCTTCTACCTTTCTTTGTCACGCAAAGATAGAAGCTTCAGGTTCTTGATTTTCATCAAACTCATTCTCTGGGTCTTCACCCCGACAAATTTAGATTACAAAAAAATAAGACCAACAGTTGAGAAGAACTGTTTACCATCTCTCTTCAAATTTCGGTTACTCTTCTACTCTTGACCCTTTCATCCCATTTTCCACTTCTTCTTCATTTTGTGTCATCAAAAAGAAACAACGAAAAAAATGATGAGAACAAACAATGCAATTTGTTTGTGTCGAAAAAAAAAAGAAATTTGGAAGGACGACAGAAAGAGAAAAATTGGAGAATCTCCTCCTTTCCTTCTGCTTCTTCTCTCTCTCTCTCGTCTTCCCAAAAAAAATTTCCGACAACGGTGTTAAAAGTGTCAAATTTCTGCTTTCAACGAAAAACGACAAAGGACCGCTCTATCGGTTTTTTGATTTCGATAGAAAGCTTTTAGTTTTATCCACGATCAGTTTTTGGGATTTACGGTAAAACCTGTAATAGAAGTACCCCGTTACGTTGTCAAGTTTGACCTCAATTATCTCAATTCCTATGCATGATATCAAAAATGTGTCAACTGATAAAATATTAGTGATATTATGATAAACATTTTATCAGTTGATAACTTTTTTATATTTTTGACAGGAACCGAGATAAATAAGCTCAAAGTTTAAACTTAGGTAGCTCTTATACTACGGTAGATCCCCGGCAGAAATCCCTGAAACTTTGGACCCAGAAATCTCATTCTAATCCGACTAATTCAATATTTAACTAATCCTGATTGATTGTATTTTTCTATTTTATCTCCTTTTCTATTTGAGTTTTTACGTCGTCGTCCTTCTACATCAAATCTATCCCAACGTCTTCTTCTTCTTCTGTCGTTTGTCATTCTTTTCTATTCTTGAATTCAATTTTGTGCGGCGTGTGGTATTCTTCTTTTCTTGCTTCTCCTTCTGTATATGTGTTGTGGTTGCAATTAGGGAAATTGAAAAGGAAATGAAAAAAGTTTGGAAGAAGAAGAAGGATGAGAAAGGAATGATTTGATGATGGAAGCAAAAAGAAGACAACGAGAGGGTAACTTTTATTGTTTATCTGAGGGGAAGCTCCCTGGGGCTTTCGATCTCCAATAGGAATGAGCACTTTTTGAAATTCAAGCTAATAGTTTTGTCGTATTTTGTTATCCGAGTGAGTTGTGGTTCCTTTCGGGCAGCTCAGTCGCTATGAAATCAGCTGTCTTCTATCAAATAATTTTTCGCGGTTCCAAGATCACTACCACCTTCAAATTCTAGCTCTCCTAGATGGAGCTCAAATTTTAATCTTATTACTCCGTAAAATCTAGTCTCTATTAGAGTTGCACTCATACCATTAAGTTTAATTAAAGGTAAAAACTCCGATAGAAGGCCACTCAAACAACTTTGAGCTAATTTATCTCGAATTCTGTGAGATATATCAAAAAGTGATAGACTGGCAAAATGTTTTATATATTATGATGAATAATTTATCAGTTGACCACTTTTCGATATCTCTCACAGAAAATGAGATACATGAGTTCAAAGTTAATAGCTTGAAGTCATTTTATTAGAGCCCTTACGGTATTTTGGTTCCTGTGAAGATATGGAAAAATTGACAAAAATATGTAGATTTTTAACAAAATGAAATATTTTATCAGTTGATCCTTTCCGATGATACTTTTGAAAATAACCGAGAAAAATCAGCTCTAAATGAGAGTTAGAAGTCAGGATGAAACTATTTCACTGTACATACAGTAACCGGAAAGGCCAAATTTGAAAGAAAAACTTGATGTTTGCAGAGCAGGGGAGTGGTCTCATAATTTACACATGGTCTGTATAAATACCAAGATTCGATATGACGAATTTTTTCTAATGTTTTTCAATAGAGTGTTTTAAAACTATAGTTCAGTTTGGTTGTACTCCGGAATGGAATTTTTCAAACAGAGAATTTTTAGAATTTGCAATTGTTTTCCGTTTGTATTTAATACTGTTGAACTGATTTAGTTGCAAATAGTTGCACTTTCTGGGGTACTGTAGCGAATGAATCTGTTCACCTTTGTTTCTCAAATGCTACAAACTACTATTCTTAATCTCTCGAATACTAAAAATTTCCCGTGTTTATCATAACATCCATTCATCGTCCAAAATTGTTTTTAGTATCTTTCTTTGAATATTCAAGCATCAAGCATCAACTTTTATCTTTCTTTTGTACACTAAAAACTTCTCCATTCTACGCCATTTTCCATGCTTTCTAAGCACTTTATTTCTAAGAAAAAGCAGAGAAGAAACAAAAAAGTTACTTACCTTTTTACCTCTTCTAACCCCCCTTCTCAACCCTTTCGTTCCACTTCCCGTCCTCCGGTCATGCCCATGATGATGTGCTCAATGAGCTCACACACATTCGTTGTCTAACCGACTGCGTGTCCACTCTCTCATCACTGACTTCAGTAGTTTCTCGTTTTGCCGTTTTCTCTGAAACCTCTCGGTTTTTGAAGTAATCGATGTAAAGAGAGAGAGAGAGAAAGAGGGTAGGATTCTGTGTTTGGAAAAGCTTTAGAGAGAGAGGAAGTTACTTCTTACTTACTCTGCAACTGGCCTCTTTTATCTAAACAACGCCAATTTTATAATTTCTCAATTCCTTCTTTCTCTTTCTTTCCGCCCTGATCATTAGTGTTTTAACGAGCCGTCAAAAGACCCTCTGGGGAGCAACACGCAGTCCATAAAAGCTCTTAAGACTTTAATGGTATGGCTTTTTAAATGGTGTTCTAGTTTTTTCACTGAGTGATAGAAAAGAAACTTTTTTAATAGTTTCTTAAATGAAATTTTGAACGATCTGAATCAAAATTTCTTCCACACGCACCTCAATAATTCAGCGATTTTTTAACTGTTCAATCCTTTGAATACCATTTGTGATTTTACCTGTTTCGATAAACGAATTAAGTCGGAATATTTAGTATTTGCATTTTTTCCACCCTTCACTCACAACTCTCAAACATTAATCAGAAATTATAATTCACAGTAAACACTCAAATAGAAGGTCACCTAAACCGCCTATTTTGAACACATATATTTCGGTTCTTGTAGAAAATATCAAAAAGTGGTCAACTGCTAAATTGTGTTGATATTATTATAAACATTTTGTCAGCTGACCACTTTTTGATATCTTTCACAGGAACCGAAATATGTGGACTCGAAGCTGGCGGCTTTCGGGTGGCGTTCTATTAGAGTGTTTACGGTAGCTTATAATTTATCAGAATTCCAGTTTTTCCAATTTCTTTACTTCTCCGAAAACAAATTCTCAATTTCCATTTTGTTTTTCCCCCGCTGCCTCTCGAGGAAATCATCTGATAAACTTTCCAGAATTCCCCAGTTCTCTAATTTTTCGTTGTTTTTTCTACCCCTCTAATTGCTTTTCCACACACCATTCCTGTTTTGTTTTTTGGTTTTTTCGTCTTTTGTAACCACAGAATTTGATTACTACTAGAAGACGTTTGGTTTCAGTTTTCTTAACTACCGTAGTCTTGATGAGTTACAAATGATAAAAGTCCAGACTCTCTCGCTTCAATGATTATATTATTTTTGCACTTTCTACTATTAATTAACTAAATTTTTTCTAGACACATCTTCTTCTGGCCCTACCACACTTGATATCACATTGGTTCGAAAAGTTCAAAAGATTTAGATTCTAGAGCACTTGGTTTGTATTTTCAACCAAATCTTAGAAAGAATTAATTTGTTATTTTCATTTGGAATTTGAATTTGTTGTTTATCACTGGACAAAAGAGAATAATTGTAGCCTTTGGGATATAGCAATATTTGATATTCAGAAGAAAAGAAAATGGAGTCTTGAATATTCATTTTATCCTCTTCATTTCTATTTAAGTTACTTCTAGATATATTCAACTGTTCTTTTTAATAGGAGTTCTTTATAAAAATAAGTGGGAGAGATCTGGAAAATAATCCAGCGACTTCTGGTTTCTTGAGTTCAAAAAACCTGCTGATAGTGATATCTGGAGATCAGAAAGTTCAGTGTTTTTAAAGTTCATTATTTAGAACTGGAAACTGGAGCAATAACAAACTTTGCTGTTTTCATTTAACAAGGAAACTTTTGGAAAATTTTTAAACATCAATGAGTGGGCGAAAACCTGGGAATATTATTTCTGATAAGCCACAGAGATTACAAATTCATGTCCCAAATTTTAGTTTTTGTCATTATGTTATTTTCCTGTGTTTTTCTTATATTTTCCTTTGTTTTCCGACAGCTTTCAAATTTCTTCTAAGAGTTCGATTACCGTAAGCACTCCCATAGAGCGCCTCTAACTTAAAACTTTGAGCCAATTTATCTCAGTTCCTTTAAAGATATTAAGAAGTAGTCAAATAACAAAATATTTTTGATATTACGATAAACCTTTTGTCAGTTGACAACATTTTGATATCTTTCACGGGAAATGAGATCATTGGGCTCAAAGTTGATGATCTGAACGGCGTTCTTTTAGAGTTTTTACGATACTTGGAAACCCAGAACCTCCTGAATTCGTTTATTTCTAGATATTCCGAGATTCTTTGTCTTTTTTTTTCATTTCTTCTTTGCCTTCTTATTTTTTTCCCACCGTCATTTCTATTTCTGAAGTTGTTGGTCCTTTTCTCCTTTCGAGGACTTTCAAATAATCACGTTTTTCGAAATTCTCCTAAACCTCAAAGACAGAAGGATTTTGTTTTTACTTTGTCCTCCTCACTCAGATGAGCTTTCGGAAAAATAACAAGACACATGTGCTTATCAAAATTTTCGGTTTACCGCTTTGCAAACATCTAAATTATTCTTCAGTTTTGCAAGCTAATCAAAGCATTGCACAGCTGGTTTTATGAACTCATTCTGTTTTTCATTTCAACCTAAATTTTAGTTTCTAGATGAATAGTTTCTCTGATAGTGAAGTATTTTTAAAATTCGCTAACAGAGATCTCTATTTTTCCTTGTCCGATTGTTTTTCGCTTTGTGCGATGTTTAGTTGTGATCGTTAGAACCGACTGTGGTTTTCAGGTGAATTTTAGAATTCTAGTCTACGTTAATGGCGTTTTTCTCGGTGGTGAGTGATAAGAAAAATTCAAATTTGTCGTTGGCAATCAGCTTGGTATGTCGTCATAGTGGTTCCTGTTCCCCGGTCATAACTTTTCAAACACTTTCAAAATTTTCTATGTCTTCCAGAAACTTTTTTTGGCTCCTAAAAATATGATCTTTGAAATAAAGAACATTTTAAATGGTGTTGTGGTGTTAAAACTTTGATTTTCAACTACCAAAATTATGTATTTCGAATGACCTATTTCATTTCAACAAACGTTTACCTTTCAAACTACATCTCTTTTACTCTCTCATCTTCAGTTAATACATTTTGTATCAACTGGGACCTCTTCTTTTTTTTGTTAGAATGAAATATTTCAGATCTGGTATCTAAATGTTCGGTTTACTCGCCCGCGGGGTTTCAGCGTTCGTCGCGTCGGTCAGTGGCCTTCAGAAGGACGATTCGGGTATAGAAGGTTTGTGGAATCTGGATTTTCAGAATTTAAAATGTTCTAAATACTTGATTTTCAATCCATCAAGTGCGGTGCGACCATACTTGTTCAGGAAACATTTTTCGGGAATTTTTTTCAGGAAAACTCCTGTCGGAAAAAATTCCCTAAACTGCGACACTACGAAACAAGTCATTTCGAAACCCTAAGATTGTTTTTGTAGTCAGAAATGTATCCATTTGCCTGTATCACCACGGTTTGGAAATAACCGGTTTCAAAATAACTGGTTTCGAAGTGTCACAGTTTCGAAGTGACGCTGAGAAGTGACGCTCAAATATATAAAAAAAGTTGTCAACTGATAAATTGTTTATCATAACATTGTAAACATTTTCTCAGTTGACACACTTTTTATATACATTCAACAGTAATTGAGATAACTGAGCTTAAAAGTTTTCGCTGTGGGGCCCTTCTTAATCATGTTTTACGGTAGTTTATTTTATTCCGGAATTGAGAAAAAATCTGAAAAATTTAGAAGTGCGTTTCAATTTTAACAGGCAAAGTTTAGATCAACTATCTAATAACGTTATTTGAAAAAAAGTTCAACTAATGACTATTTTTGATGAGATCTTACATCCAGATAAAAAATTGAGCCAAATGTTCAGAATGAGTTGTTCGTTCGCTAGGAAATTACAAATTTCACCTGTCAAATTCAAATTAGGTTTTTTCTTCCGAAAAATTTCTCAAGTGTTATACATTCGTTTCAGGAAGCAGCCAGGATGACTCTCGAAGTGCTAAATCAACGAACTCAAGTATCAGAAGAAAGTCGGATTCTATCAAAAGCGCAGGTTAATTTCTTATCATTTCCACTATTTTTCTCAAGTCATAAAAGTAACAACAAAAAAAACACAAAATCGATTACTTGCGGGGGTTTTCTCTCTTATTGTTTTGTTTGGTGGTATTTGATGGAATTCCAAAAAAAATTGTGTCACAAAAAAATCCGAATGAAATTTATAGCCTCTGGCGTTTTTTCTTCGGTTACTTTACTGTGGTCTTTCTTCTTCTCTTTTTGGATCTCTTCTTTTTTAAAAGGAAAAGAGACATATTGAATTATTCGATTTCGTTTTTAGAGAGAAAATGGATGAATAGCGTTTTGATGAGAAGATGAACTCAAGTTTCTTTTTTTTGCGTGGGTAGACTTTTTTTTGAAAAATGACGACATCTACTGTTTTGAAAGATCAGGATATTTTTATTTCTGAATGTTCTAATCCCATTTTGTAGGCATTTATGTAAAAGTTATATTTGAGTCTAATCCAACTCAACGGATCTATATCTTTATGATTTGAAGTGAAAATTCTGGAAAAGGAGAATAAAAACAAAAACAAAATAAAAATTGTTTCCCTTTCCCTAAAGACAACTTCCAGTTTTCTAAAATCATGTCAAGTGTGAAAATCGAATAGTCCATTCTATTTTGAACTTCAGGAGTTAACAGCTCAATGATGCGTGTGAATTATTTTCTTGAGATTCTCCAAAAAATCTTCCAGTTTTCCAAAATCGGCTTATCAAATGCTCGCATCCATGATCGGAGAGCCTGCGATATTTTTAGACGATCATAGAGCGTTCTCATCCACTTTTCGTTTGCTTTCTTCTAGAAGAAAAGATATAATGGAGGTCGTGAATCTTTATGAGATTCCCCCTAGCTAAAAAATACACACTTTGTGTAACCCTTGAACGAAAAATCAAAAATTGGTGACAGCTGGTGTTGATGAGTTTACTTACTAGTTAGAAAGTTGATTTTATTTTTGTTTCTGGAAATATTTTGATTTTCATATGATTTACAATAATCATAAATATCCTATTTTAAAACTTGCAAATATCAAGCTAACTATACAGTTTTTGCTTCATTTTTGAGCTCATGATTTATACCGTAAACCTGTAATAGAAGGGCTCCTACACTGTCAAGTGAGTTCAATTATCTCCATTACTATTCATGATATCAAAAATGTGTCAACTGACAAAATACTTCTGATATTATGAAAAGTAATTTATCAGTTGACAACTTTTTTATATCTTTGACAGGGACCGAGATAAATTGGGTCAAAGTTGAAAATTGGGGGCCCTTCTATTACAGGATTTGCCTTTGAAAAACTTCAGAAACTATGACATTCTACTTTTTGTATACGATACAAAAATCCTATTTTTTCAAAACATTTTGCAATTGATAATGTTTGGAACACCTGGAAAATTACAACATCAACTCTTTCGAAGATATGTTTTTTTTAACATCCGTAATTCCTTTTCTTCCTGGCGTCAAACGATGAGACGAAGAAGTATCGGAGCAGGGGGTATTACTGATAATCCAACCAATTATTCTTTTATTTTTTATTTTCACCGTTTCTCCTCTCACCTCATCCTATTTCCTTTCATTGATTCTTAACACCAATTGTTGTTGCTGCCATTTTTCTCGATAGGAATATATTTTTTTTCAGAATTCAATGGAATTGTTTTGAATGCGCTACGAATACATTTTTTCCAGAATATTCCAATTATCAGCTGTTGTGTCTATCTAGTTCTAGTTTGTTCTAGATGTATAACATTAAGAATTAGACATGCAAGCAATTTGGAAGGTTGTACTTAGAATTTTGAAGGGATCGGTATAAAGTAGGTGATGGATTCTTAAACCAGATCACACAAATATTTTGGTACCTTCACTATTTCCTTTTTGCGTTTGGCAGCATGTGATACTTTCAAAGATTACTGTAAGGTGAGCAACTTTTGGACTACGGTATGTCAAATGCGGGTCTTGAGCGAAACTACTTTTTGAAAGTTTGTTTGGGTTTTGGAAATCTCTCTGTCAATTTTCATTAATTTTTGGCGCTTTTGTTATGGGAAAATGATTTCTACTTTTAAATTTGAATGTTGAAAACTTTAAAATTTTTAAAAATTGGAATGTACCTAAATTTTGAAAATCTGAATTTTCGAGATTCGGAAAAATTCCGAAAACGGTAATTCCGACTATCCCTGCTCTTCTGTGTTACTCTTCCAAAAACCCCCTCGACGATTAGAAATGATTTGTGTTCTGGAAGCTGATCCCGAAGAACCCAGAGGAAGACAAAATGGAGGACGTCAGAAAAATAAATGAAAAAGACGGGGGAATCGATGGGTTAACAGAGAAGATGCTCCTCCTTCTCCTTCTTGTCTCCCCCAATATTTGATTCTTCTTCCTCCTTTTTTCTGGTTTGGCTTCTCCTTCTTCGGGTTGTTTCTTCCGTTGTTTCGTCTTCCTCCACTTCTCCTATTTTTTTTTTTCATTTCAACCCAAATCGACGGTTTTCTCATTTTACCACAAAATATTTTTTTCGAGTCTAGGCGTCGTTTCAAGAGAAAACCTGAATAAACAATCAATTTTTGCACAAAAAAAAGAACCTTTGACTTTTCTTCGGTTCCTAATGAGTTTCGTTGTTTTCGTATGGCGCCCATCATCAATGGGCGGATCCTTCTTGAACTTTTGGAATTGATTCTAGAATATCCTCCTACCGAGCACACTTAAAGATTCTTAAGAAACCAGCCTTTCACAAAGCATCGAAATATCTAGACCCATTCTGGAAATCTGAACCACCAACCAATATTTTAATCCGCTCCGGCACTTGATAATCAACGATCACCCTTTTCTGGCCCATTCGATGAACTAAAATTAATATTGTCCCAATTTTCGATCAGTTTTAGAATCTCCAACTTTCTGAATTGAAGTCTTTATTCTACGACTTTCAAGTGATATCTCAAAAAGATGGATCATCAATGTTCACCCTTTATGAATTATGCTTAAAATCTTTTTTTTAATTGAAAAATAGGTGACAAACCAAGTTAGTTTCGAACTACTTTAAAAACGTTTTTGAATCAGTTCAACAGATGGATTAGGAATTCAATGAACTAACGAGTCAAAATTAACTAATCTCTATAAGTGCATTTTGGGCCATCCCTGGGGCCCCTAAAGATAAGAGTATTGCCAGACTCGTTTAATTTTTCTCTCTACGATCCTTCTCTAGACGGAACCAGGTTGTATCCTATTGCGTGTCACTTTTTTTTGCCCATATCGAACCCGAAATTATGGGCTCGGAGGAAGGAAAACCAATAAATTTGCCTACGTCACCATTACTCTCCCACTTTCGTCTATAGATGTCTTTTTGATTCTACACATTTTGGTAGAGACCTCGAAAAATCGAAAACTCTTTTTTGATGATGTGCTGTTTCTTAAACAAATAATGTCATTTTCCCCCTGAAAACGGGCCAGTGAAACACAGAGGAAAAGGACAAACTTCTTCAGTTTCTCTCTATGTAATTGGTCTCTCTTCAGGTCCATGTGATAGATATCGAATTTCTTAAAGCAAATAAAGTAAAAAGAAGCGCTGCTTTCTATTAAAAACTTTTTCACCCAATTTTTATCCTTTTTCAATGAGAGTTTCGAGTTTGAAATTTTGAGTTGCGCGCGCGATTACGGTACGCTGTGTGTTTGCGTATTGTTGCAGACTTTGCATTTAAGCTGACGAGCGCCTTTTTTTCATTGCATTTTATCACTGAATGTGCAGTTTTTAAAACAAAGAATTGTTAATTTAGTCTGAAACATTTAATAGAAGTTTTTCTCCTCGAGTCTGCTCAATTTCCTTAATGATCCCAGTCTGTTGTTTGCCCCCACGCCTTCAAATTTCCTTTTTGAAGAAACAAAATGGCAATGTAAAGAAGAAAGATACGAGCACTGATCGACTTCCTTTTTTTCTTCCTTCTTTCGAGAACAAAAAATTAGATTAGAATCATCAAAAGTCTCCGTTTTCACTCCCTTTGACTCTTTTTTTGGATGTTCTTCTCTCGTAAAAACCTTATGGACTTATATTTTTCTTCGTTTCACCCCCTTCGCTCAGATCTAAAAGAGTAACTTTTCAAAGAGATTTAGCACTTTTTCTCTGGGGACCAGAACTCTGAAAACTCGTGCTCAAAAGTGGCAAAAAGTTCCGTTTATTTTATTCTCTCTCAGTTTTACTTCTCTTCGCATCACACCACAAACGTTTTGTTGTTATAATCTGAATGATTTGAATTCAAATAAACAAAAAGAAGAGAGAAATAGTTTGTTGTTCGGTTGTGTTGTTCCACTGAAAAACCATCGGAAAACAATATTCAATATTGTATACAATTCTCAAAATTTTCCAGATATGACGGCGACTAGGCAACAATTCCAAGTGGAGTCGGTAAAGGAGGGCAATTTGGATGAGATTGTTCAGTTCCTTCTGGAAAATTTCGCACAGACAGAGGCTATTCTGGCCAGTTTGAAAATTGACGAGGATAGGCTAGTTTGGCTACAGATTGAGGAAAAAAAATGATGAAATTTTGCAGATTATGCTTGAAAGAGTTAACAGTGATGATTCGTGATTTGGTCCAGGACAGTCTCCAATGCTCCTCAACATGTGTCGTCCGCGATGCCGCCACTCACCGAATTGATGGAATCGCGTTGGCATGCAAAACTTCCATCTTTGACAAACAAATCGACCGTCTATGTGCCTACGAATTCGATCAGCAACAAGTGAGAGATGCCGTTGAATTCCTGAAATACGTCTTCAATAAGCTCGACGTCATGTACTATCTCAATGAGTACCGTCTCTACAAACCGGTAGGGAACGTTGCTGAGGGGATTCATAATTTTTGTTCCTTTTCTAGGTGTTCGTCGCATTGGTGTGTGTTCGAAAAGAATTGTGGGGACAAGGAATCGGCAAATCGCTGATGAATCATGTGTGAGTCAAATTTCGAGATTTTTCTGCGTTCTTTCGAACTGAAAAGCAATAAAACCAACGTTTTCAGCAAAACGGCCGCTCGATCTGATAGCAGCGACGGGCTCATCAGCTTGTGCAGTAACGAACGTGGACATAAACTCATGAAGCAATACTGCCAAACTGATGTAATTCGTTGGAAACTCTGCTTAAAAAAAATGAAACACCTGATTTCAGTTCGCTGCCGTGCGCTACGACGCCTTCAAAGGAGAGCATCTCCGCCCACCGATCGTGATGCGCCCTCCGGAAACGTTCAGCAGTGTCTACGCCATGCTCACCAAGTTCACATAAAAATGTCACACAAACTATCATGTAATCATATTACAACGAATTCACATCCCAGGCCTTCATGCTTTTCTCTCCCCATTTTTTTCTTTGACCGTGTTTCATATTCTAATTTTGCTGTCATGTAAACCTATTTCTCTCTCACTTTCCACATCAAAAATTTAAAACAAAATGCATTTGCACTTCTTTTTTTTTCAAAAACCCCCTTCCAACTCAATCAAAAACAAACGATTTTCCCTTCTGCGATCATGTTCTTCCACCTAAAAAATTTTTTTTCACCACCCATTTTTCTATTCAAATTCCATCTAAATATATTGTTTGTATTTTCGTAAATTCCACTTTTTATTCGGAGAAAAAAATCTAAATAGCTTAGAGCTATTTTTCACAAGTAAAGAATCGAAACGAAAGAGAACACGATAAAGAGGCTGAAAGCAGCCGAAGATCCAACGCTTATTTATCAGGCCAACGAGACCGCATTTTCCATGATTAATACAAGCGTATTTTGAAGCGAGAATAGCGTCTGTGGTTCCAGATGGAGATTTCCGATTTGTTGCCCACACCCCATCGCTATATTTTATGATATGCATGTCACCGGGACAGTCATTTTCGAGCGCTTTGGACTTCAAATCTTCCATGCTTTTATCGTATTCCTAGGAATGATAAAATGAATCGAGAATTCAAAAATCTTCTTACCAGTTTTCTCATATTAGAAAATTGTTGTTCCTCAGCATGGGTTCTTCTGTGTTGGTTCTCCAAATCCAGCCATGATTATCTATTCTTTTCCTTCTCAGAGTCCTCTGATTTCTTCTCAGAACTTTCAGTTGCAAGAATGGCATTCGCTGAAATCTCGAAATAAAGCAATTTCACACACAAAAACACTTACAGCACAAAAGAATGAGAGCTCCAAGAAGAGCGTATTTCATTGTGTAGGTCAGAAGCAAGCTCTGAATTTTGGATATTTTGTGTTGTCTTTTTTTTTTTGGTTTTTTGTGTTGTCAGAGAGTTGGCGACAGCAGTTGGAAGGTTGCCCTAGTTCATACAAGGTCAGGACGTTCATGTAAAGTGCAACTGAATTTTTTGCAGAACACCGTAGAATATGTTTGTATCCAAGGAAAACCTGTAAAAAAGTGTATCTTAACTTTGAGTCAACTTATCTCAATCCCTGTCAAAGACAGAAAAATGTGCTCAATTGATAAAATTGTTATCGTAATATGACACACATTTTATCAAGGGACCCATTTTTGATATCTTACATAGGAGCCAAGAAAAATTAGGTCAAACTTGATAGTGTGGGAGCCCTTCTAAAGGTAAATACTTCAGTTCGATGCAGATAAATTGTTCATCATAAAAGTTTTTGGTTTAAGATCAGTCAAAAATATTTATAAAAACAAAAGTAATTAGGATATTGAAAAAAGAAGAAATGTTAGGAGTTGCTGAGGAACGAGTAGATCGATGAGGAGGAGGACTTGGAGAAGGAGAAGGTGCAACGTATGGTGGAAGTCGCTCTGGAGGAGGCTTGCTGAAACAAACCACGTCATCGTTTTTTTCTTTTTTCAGGTCCGCGGAGACATGGAAACCTAGAAAATAGAGAGAGGAATGAGCCAATATCTCATAAATTTTTACCGAAAGAAATTAGAGCGATGAGCAAAACTAGTAGAGTGTTCATTGAACTACGGTAGTCTTTGTGGTGAAAGAAAGCCAAAAAAAATCGGGGAAAAAACGAGGCCAGAACATCATAAGAATGGGTTTAATTAGGAGGAAAACTTAAAAAAAAGGTCACGCCACAGTTTTTTTTTCGAAAGTGTAAAGTTCTATGAGTTCATACCGTCCCTACAAATCTGAGTTTTTCTTTGAAGGTTTTCTTGGCTGGCATCATTTAACCATCGTTGTATACGGTAGGAAAAACTGTAAAACTTTCTGAATATGTGGTTTAATTAGAGATTTCTGTGTTGCCAATCTGTGTGAAAACAACGCTCTATTTTTCAATGTCATGGCCTAATTTGTCTAGGTCACTTCTTATTTATGCAAATTACAGTTCAAATTCAGCTGTTCCTACTGTGGTTATCAGTTTTTATTCAATTTATTATGAACACTTCTTCGGGATTTAGAACATTGCATTCGACTACGTTCAAAGATGCACTTTACAGCACAACAAGTGGATTAATTCTTTCAAATATTTAACTTTCTTTTTTTTCTTATCAAGGCTGTGCCACGGCCGGCCGCGGCTTAAGAAAAATATTCGAAGAAGCCGCGGCCGGCCCAGGCTAGCCGTGCGGCTTTTCACGGCCTTTTGAAATAATTGTTTCATGAGAAACGTAGATTTTTTTTTGAAAAGTAGGACAAAAAAACGAAATTATTCAACTAATTGATTTTCACTTCACGCGTTTTCATGAGGCTATCCGCGGCCGGCCTCGGCTATCCGCGGCTTTTCACGGCTTTCACAAAAAAGCCGCGGCCGGCCTCGGCCTCAAAAATCGAGCCGCGGCTGAGGCCGGCCGCGGCCAGCCGCCTTTTTGCACAGCCTTGCTTCTTATGAATTGATTTTAACTATTTTCTAATAAATGAAAATTTCAAACATTTTCTGTTGTAAATAATTATTAATGCTCCTAGACCGAATGCACAAGACATAAGGTGTGGACAGAAAAATGATGCATAAACATTGTATTAGTCGGTTGAGGGCTTTTCACCATCATTGAAGTCAATATTAAACTGTTTGATGCGGGTACTGCCGTCATCTTCAACGTTATCATAATTGCTTTCCTGAACAATTTCAAAAATGTAGCAAAACAATTTCTGACAATAAGAATTTCACCTGTTCAAAATATTTGATAAGAGCTTCAACTAAAAATTATTAAAACGAGTGACTTTAAACGACAAAACCCGGAAAAGAGTAGGGAAAACGAAAAAGAAAAGACTTTTCAAAGGTTTTTTAACGTTATGGAAGTTCGAATGAAGCTGAAGGGGCATTGGTCCAAGATGATGTCTAGTAAAACCAGAAGTCCTGAATATTAATATGAAAAATTATGGTGAATTGAATGAGAGAAGGTATTCCAGTACTTCAGATATTTTCTAGATAATGCGGAATAATAATAGCTTAGAAACTATGTTGCCCGGGAATACACGCTGATAGAATTAACCTACTTTGACACGGTCTCCCAAAGTGAAAATTTTTGATAAAGTTCTCTCGTTGTCTGCACTCTAGCCAATTTTATTATTTCACGCCACTCCCCCTTTTCTCTTCTTTTTGGCTAGTGGAAACTTATCACTAGAGTCATGCAAATCACAGAAAAGTACGAATTCAAGCTATTTTTAGAGAAAAAGACTATTTGCTATGTTACTGAAGACTTCAGCTATCACTTGCACAAAATTTTAAATATTGTGAAAATTGGAGCATTTTGAGCAAAGTTATGAATCAATGAACGCCGACTAGATCAAAACCGGTTTCATTCAACCGTACATAAGGCTATCAGGTTTTTACGGAATCAAGAAATTAAAAGCGTCATCAAACCCGCAGAGACATTTGCTACAATTGCTCCGTTTTTTTTTTGATTTAGGTCCTCGTTTTCTTGAAAATCTTGAAAAAGTGTCAAAAATCGGGGGTGTTTTGGAATTTAGTACTGAATATTGTACCCTGCAAAACTCTGCCAGTATCCAACCGATCATAATGATCAATAGATCAAAAGTTTTGTAATGGATTGTTCTACAATTCCTCCATCTTTGATTTTTGATTTTCGTCTCTGTTCGGATGTTAGGGGGTCAAACAGTCGTTCATTGAGAGATTTCGGACTTTGGAGGCGATTTTCAGTTGGTTAAAGGTGGTCTTTTACGCAAAAAGCAATTCTGAGTTCCAACAACTCAAGAACATCTCAAAAAATGGCTGACAAGTCCGCATACATGTCCGCTGGAGGATACAGCTCCGGATACATGGGATCCAACGCCTCGTCTTCTGGATACGCTTGCGAGGACTACGCATCTGGAGGATCGGGTGCATCCAACAACAACAACCAAGGAGGATCCGGAGGAAACACCAATCCAGGAGCTCAAGTCTTCAAGGCCCGCACCGATCAATCGTGCTATTTGGGCCCATTATCGTTCATTGGAATGAAGCCGAAACCGCCACCAGCCGATCGTCGTGTCCTTTATCAAAAATGTGTACTTCTTTTTTTGATATAAAGATTTGTATTTGAAAATATCAAATTTCCCATGTTTTCAAATATGAAGATATTTTCATTTGCTTAGAAAATAAAAAGAGTTGCCCAAAAACTCGAAAAATCCAAAAAAAAGTTTTTCAAAGCTTCATATGTTGCTTGATAGTTTGAGACAAGTCTTGAAACTTATTACAGACAATCTCGGATATGATTTCTATCACCCAAAAAAATTTCTAAAAATATCCATCTTTGAGCAGACGTTCTTAACCATTCGGCCAGTTTTCCGATCAAATCTGAGCAAAATAGTACAGAGATTAAATAGCGTGAGAGATGAAGAGACGCAGAGACATTTTTTTCTGTAGTTTTGAAACCAAAAATTTTCACGCTGGGAGACCGTGCTTTGACGTCAATATCGATAATTTTTCAAGTTTTACGTATCTCTGAAGAAAGTGAAAAGTGAGAGATCGGTAGAAATTTTCTTTGCAGATTTTGCAAAGACACAGTGTATAATTTTAACAAGTAAGAACACATCAAGAATCATTTTTTTATTACAAACTTGGAGATATTATTTGAACAAGAACCTGGAGTTGGACAGAATGGGAAGTTTGTGGGAGGTGAAAAAGTAAGCAGTTGAGAGATTAATGAAAATCGTATAAGTTACTGACAATAAAATTATTCTGTGTTGTTCTGTGGTTTATGAAGCTGTATGAAATGAAAAGGCAGAACATGGGGAAAATGCAAAAATTATGAGTTGAGAGATGAATTGTTATAATGAGAGTTCGTAACAGTTAATAGCAAACAATCGGATGAGCCAAAGTGATTTTGAAGCTAACTGGAGCCCGAAGCGATAAGAGCCAAATCAATACGGATTGAATCGCCCTCTGAATCCACCACGTCCTCTTGGAGATGATCCATTGACGTAGACGTACTTGACGACTACTGTCTGTTGTCCTCCTCTGCCTCCACGGAATCCACCACGTCCACGGCCTCCTCTCTGTGCTCCCATACCTGGCTTATTGGTTCTCTTGGCAGTGACGACGATTTGGCGAGAACGGAACAGACTTCCATTCATCACGAGAGCATTTTCGATGCTCTCAGCAGAAGCAAACTCGATGTATGCGAAACTGAAAATTGGAAAAATGAACGATATATTCAGACGGAATAGAAAGACCAGTCTGAACACTCAAACCAAACTCACTTCTTCTGTTTTTTGGTGAACTTGTCCTTTGGAATAGTGGTTCGAATGATTTCACCGCATCCTTTGAAGTGTTCTTCGATATCTTCGATCGAAGATCCAAAGTCTACGTTACCGATGAACACCGATCTGGAATCGATCTCCTTCTGTTCTTCGGCAGTTGGTGGAATCATTTTCGTTGGCATTTCCATCTTTTCTGCAATCTCATTTTGAATCTCTCGGAGAGCGGCAGCTTCAGCCTCGATCTCCAACTCCATTGAATTACAGTTGTTGTCGGATTGAGCCATTGCTGTTGAGTGTGCTGAGCTTTTCTCTGAAACAAGTAGGAAAGTGAAACAAAGAAAAGAAGACATTAAAAGTTAAAACGAAAGAGAGGAAAGGTACACAACCGTCCAAGTCGAGAAACAAAATGAGAAGGAATGGGAGAATAAATGGATCTTCCCACACCGATGCTACATCCAGGTGTGCCCATAATCTCCTTCACCTCGTCTTGCAGATCAAAGAAACCCATCTTCACATGGTCACCGTTTATGGGAAAAAAAGGAAAGAGCAGAACAGTAGTGTATCGTGTGATTTCTAAAATCAATGGCTGTCGGCTTATAACTTCTGGTCAAAAGTTGATGGGGGTTCGGCTTTTGGAAGTTGGCCAGGTTCTGGTCGGAATTTGGCTAAAAACGGCTGTATAGCGAGCCATTGTCACATTTTGATAGGTTATTGAAAGTTGCAATAAAAAATTAGATCGGAACCTTATCATAAATTTGTTGGAGTTTAGTAGCGGTCTTATCCGGAATCTGACCCACATGTTACCAGAAGTTATCAACGACGCCCGCGTACATATCAAATTTAGGACTTCGAAGAGTACTTATTTTCGCATGGTGAAAATATGAAGAAATACAACAGGTTATAACTAATTGTGAGAATGAAAGAAATACAAAGATATAAGTAGTAAACCAGGGAAATAAATAAGACTCTAATGAAATCAATAGTGACGAGAATAAAAAGAAGACGACCTATACACAATGAATAATAAGTGTCTTTTGCTTTCTATATACACCCCGTCCAGGTGTGCATAACCTTCTACCTTGACTTGCCTTCTGGGAAGAAATACAGTGTGGAATGTAATAAAAGAGACTTCTCTCGTTACGTTGTCACACATAATGCAAATAATTAGGAGTGTGAGAGGCATGGAACACCAGGTGTAACAACCAGAATCTTAGTTTTCTCTGATGGTACTGTTAGTTCTTTTGGTTCCCATTCAAAGTAATTTTTCTCTTATTGTTCTATTGAATTCCAGTTCCTTGTGTCTTGATGATGAACTAGAGTGTGATTTTTGGGGATTTAAAAATATATCTTTCTCCCTTATCCATAACTTCCCATTTAGTATGAACCTAGTCATTATAATGTGGCATTTACTGTAAACTCTAATATAACGTCACCCCTAACTTTTCACTAATTTGTCTCTGTTCCTGTGAAAGATATCGGAAAGTGGCCCACTGATTAAATGCTTATCATAATTTCACAAAGTTTTGTCAGTTGATTACTTTCAATACCTTTCACAGGTAATTAGATATATGGCCTCATAGTTGAATGTTTGAGGCGGTGTTCTGTTAGAGTGTCTAGTTTATTTTCTTTATCAGTTGATTCGTATAGTTTTTGAACTGGTAAATTATCCTGATCAATGAAACACAGTAACTACTGCAGTTATTAACTCTCAATTAACCCCTTCATTCCACATTTTCAATCGTGATTCCCAGAAGGTAGATTTTTATAAGTGCACCTGAATGGCCCAACTGAACAGTGTATGTAGACAATCAACGAACAATTAGTAGACATAATGTTGTGCCGCATCCCCATAGATGCCTGACTTTTTTTCTTCTAACTTCTATTGATTTTTACCATTCTCCTTAATTCTATGTCCTAACATTTTTGTTTTTTTTTTCATTTTTTAAAAATATTTTTTGAATCATTTCCTAGCTTTCAAAACGTTTCACCAGAGAGTTCACTTATGATGGCTTGCCCAACACGATCATATGTTTTACTATGCGAAAATAAGTACTCTTCCAAGTCCTAAATTTGATATGCGCTCCGGCGTCGCAGGTAACTTCTAGTCACAGGTTTATCAGATTCCGGATAAGACCGCTACTAAAGCCGACCAAACTTCTGACAAGGTTCCGATTTAGTATTGTTTCAACTTTCAATTACCTACCAAAATCTGACCATCGCTCGCTATACAGCCGTTTTGGGGCAAGTTCCAACCTGGTCCTGACCAAATTCCAAAAACCGAACTTTCCTTAACTTTTGACTAGAATGTACAAGCCGAAAGTCGAGTATGTACATGATTAAAGTTCTTGATTTTACATTGATTTTTGAAATCACACGGAACACGACTGTTCTGCCTTTTCCCTTGCTTTTTTCCCTCGAGCACACATATCTTATCCGATCCTCATGGTAATTAGAAGAACAGGGATCATGTGAAGTTAAATTTCTTTTGATATGCAAGACGAGGTGAAGGAGAGTATGGGTACACCTGGATTTAGAATCGGCGTGGGAAGATCCATTTATTCTCTCCCATTCGTTCTCACTCTGTTTCTCGGCTTGGACGGTTGTTTACCTTTCCTCTCTTTCGTTTTAACTTTTAATGTCTTCTTTTCTTTGTTTCACTTTCCTACTTGTTTCAGAGAAAAGCTCAGCACACTCAACAGCAATGGCTCAATCCGACAACAACTGTAATTCAATGGAGTTGGAGATCGAGGCTGAAGCTGCCGCTCTCCGAGAGATTCAAAATGAGATTGCAGAAAAGATGAAAATGCCAACGAAAATGATTCCACCAACTGCCGAAGAACAGAAGGAGATCGATTCCAGATCGGTGTTCATCGGTAACGTAGACTTTGGATCTTCGATCGAAGATATCGAAGAACACTTCAAAGGATGCGGTGAAATCATTCGAACCACTATTCCAAAGGACAAGTTCACCAAAAAACAGAAGAACTGAGTTTGGTTTGAGCGTTCAGACTGGTCTTTCTATTCCGTCTAAATATATCGTTCATTTTTCCAATTTTCAGTTTCGCATACATCGAGTTTGCTTCTGCTGAGAGCATCGAAAATGCTCTCGTGATGAATGGAAGTCTGTTCCGTTCTCGCCAAATCGTCGTCACTGCCAAGAGAACCAATAAGCCAGGTATGGGAGCACAGAGAGGAGGCCGTGGACGTGGTGGATTCCGTGGAGGCAGAGGAGGACAACAGACAGTAGTCGTCAAGTACGTCTACGTCAATGGATCATCTCCAAGAGGATTAAGAGGGCGATTCAATCCGTATTGATTTGGCTCTTTTTGCTTCGGGCTCCAGTCAGCTTCAAAATCACGTTGGCTCACCTGATTGTTGGCTAATAGCTGAATTTTTGGCATTTTTTTCCATGTTTCCTTTCTACTCAATGGCTGTTTCGATCCCTCATTATAACAATTCATCTCCCAACTCATCACTTTTTCATTTTGTCCATGTTCTGTCTCTTTTTTTGCTTTTCATTTCACCCAGATTCATAATCCCACATTACCCTTCTGTCCAGCTTCAGACTCTTGACTTCTTTTACTGATTCCCCTTCAAATTATTGTAATAAAAATCAGATTCTGGATATGTTCTTACTCGCTAAAATTATAGCAAAAACCCTGTAACAAAAACTGTTCAATATGACAGTTTGTGAAAGATCCGTCAAAGAAATTCCAACCGAATTTCTTCCTTTTCCTTGAAGATTCATAAAACTTGTTCATTTTCACATTGATCGCTATAATCAAAAAAGGGAATAGAGAAATATAATGAACCATTCAGAGAGAACAAAACGAGCTGTTTGGGGGTACTGTATGAAGCAGAAAATAAATAAGTTAAAAGGGGTCGAATCAGTAAAAAGGAGAAATTCGGAAAAGAGGGAAAAGGTGTAAGAGAGATAACTGAAAACGACGTAATTGAAAATGAAAAAAAAAGAGAAGAGCTGTCAGGATGATGTTTTTAGAGCAAAGAATAGGGGGGAATAATTACCAGGATAATCACAAAAATAAAGAAAATTTAGCGCAGGGATAAGCAACAATAACCATTGGAACCGAGAAGAAGAGAGCAAATTTTTGGAGCACACAATTACACAAAATAGTTAGATTGGCACCAGTTGCCACGCTTCACATCACTGATAAAATTCAGCGGGAGCAGCGGGGGGAAATATGCTGGAAGAAGAAATTAGGATAGATGATGGCTGAAACAAAAAAGAAAACGAGTACCTATGATTGAAATATGAATAGAAAATCTGGGGAAAAAAGAAAACAGTATTAAAAAATGATATAGTTACATGTTATATTTCTCTGCCTCCTCGTTGGATTCTTTCATGTCGGATAGCACTCTGAAAACCAACAATTAGACTAGAGAAGACAAGAAATTGTCTTACCTAGCAAATCTATTCCATTCTTCACTTTTCAGAACGTACAAACTTTCTCGAACATCGTACATATGCACACGACCCTCATCGTCTCCAACAAACACGTGTTTACCATCAGCCGACCAGATCAGCTTGTTCATGTACACCGTGTCTCCTTCTGCACCTGCTCGAAGTCGTGCCACTGGACCTTCCACATCTTCGTTCAGATTCCATACGAAGATCTGTAGAAAATTGAATCATAGTCTGAGCTATAATTTTTTGAATTTTTACGTTTCCATCGGCGTCAATGGATGCAAAAACAGCAGGATGGACTGGAGACCAGGCGACATCAAGTACAAGATCTGGGTGGGATTCAAAGGAGAACTTCAGATTTGCATCCTTGGTGCTCCATAATTTGATGGTCCAGTCGTGTGACGACGAGATGAAGAGATGGGAGAAGTCAACGACACCGGAAGCACGATGGAATTCAATACCCGTTAGAGTACCGCTGTGTCCTGGAAAACATTCAGAGGTAAAAACAGGAATCTATTACGAATCAAAAGTTACCTTTGTAACAAACGTCAGTTTTGATGACAGCCGGATCTGCTCCGTTCCTCGATGCTGCCAGAATCTCTCCAGTATCTGTTCCAACTACAAACGTTTGCATCTCACCAATTGGGAACGACATTCTTGTGGCAGAAGCCTAAACATGATATTCTATAATTCTTAGATATCGCTTTCAAGACTCACTGGTTTTCCTTCTTTTGTCATCAACTCCTTTCCATCCACTGGCTGTGTTAAATTGTCAACATTCCAACTGCAAATCCGTCCGTCTCGACTCAATGAAACGAAATTATGAGCGTTTTTGGTACCCACAACTGCGAGACACGAAACTGGTTGTGTGTGTGCTTGTGTTGTGAGTGGACTCTGAAAATATAGAAGTAAAAAAATAGATAATCATTTTAAAAACTCACTCTGTTTATGGGCAACTTACGACTCGTCAACCTATTATCCCAAACACAAATCTGACCAGATTCACATCCTGCGAGAAGCAAATGAGCGTGAAATCGAGCAAAAGCTACAGATTGAATTTCTGACTGACAGTAGACGATGAATTCGGCGGTAATTCGTTTTGATTTCGTATTCCAAACAACGATGACACCCGGTGGCTCATTTGGAACGTCACATGGCTAGAACAATTTTTATAGATTAAAGAATTTTTGATTTAAATACTTACTCCATAAGAAACCGCAAGTAAATCTGGATGATGTTCCGAGAATGCCATTCCGGTTACCAATCGTTTCGCCGTCCACGTCTCATCGTAATAGACTTGAGCCAAATGAAGAAGATCATCAGAAGCCACTGCTTTCTCGTATGGATCTTTAGTATAGTTGATAAAAATGTCAATGTCTTCGTTAAGCGCACGGCCGATAACTTTGCACGAACGGTTGAATGAGTCCTATAGAAAAATCATATTTTTTTGTGTTTCGACTGAATTTCTCACCAAGAATTCTGGATCTAGTGTCAGCCTATTTCTCTCTTCTTCGCTAAGTGGCTGAACGGTTTGCACATGCGTCGACTTCTTTTCTTCTGTATCCTGTCGTTGTAGAGCCTTATCCACGTGTTTTGCCTGACCCAGAAGTTTGGCAATCTCTTCATTGTATGGGAGAGGCGAGTCTTGATCGTGGGAATGAGCTCGACCTTAAGAAATATAATTAGAATAAGTTCATAACTACTGAAAAAATGAGATTCCGAAGAAGTCACAAACCTCTGAACTGACCATGATCGACCGGCATAATCATATCATCATCGTAATCGAATTCTTGACTACCAAGTGAGAACTCGCCAACAGAGATACGTTCATCATCTGTTTGGGTTCCTTTTGAGTAGATGGCCTAGAATTTTTAAATTTTTGTTTTAATTTACAAGGTAGAAAATATTTTTTTCGATTTAAGCGAGAACTCACCGAATCTTTGTTATCAGTTGATGCAGTTTGAACTGTCGAAAACTCCAAGTCCACAGAGAGAAGAGATGAGATTCGTGGATTACTTGCAGAAGCAGACATTGGATTCAGATGATTCTCAGCGTGAGCTCCACGGGGCGGCGCTGGGGATTCTTCTCGAATCGTTGGTTCGGCGGAGATGCCCACTTCGCGAAGAATTTCCTCCATCTGCAAAGACTGTTCCGTTACATGAATTTTATTAACAATGCTTACTTGTTCGGAGGAAAGCGTTTGGCGATGCGAAGCTCCATTCTGTGCAGCTCCGTTCTCGTTGGTACGGAGCAAATTTTGAACGCGAGACTCTTCGTCTTTCTGCCGTATCGATTTCAGCTCCGCAAGTTTCTGCTTCTTGCGTTGAAGTTCGAGCCTTCTCTGCTCCGCATTCTGCATTTCGCTGCAAATTAAAAAAGTTTTAAAATTTTTAAATCAGATCAGAGGGTTTGGAATAAGAATAAGGTACCAGGATAGTTTTCAATGAAATAAATAAAAGAGAAGCGGAACAACTTCTATTTCGAAATCTTCAAATTTCAAAAAAAGATGGTTGAACGAGAGAGGAGAGAGTAGAAGAGATATCTACGAAGAACATCATCTGTTTTTTTTTAATTCTCGATTCAAAATGGAGTGTGACGTCTTCTTCACAACTGAAACTGTTGTCAGCTGAATTGAAATATGTGTCGAGAATGTTACCCCAAATAGTGTTATGTATGTTTGTACTCACTGTTTCCTACTGTTCTCCATTTTTCTGATTCTCCAATCTCTAGAAACCTCACTCTCACCGAGGATATCAGAGAGAGAGAGAGGCAAGAAGGTGGAAATATGATAGATTGGTCGGAAACCCCAGGAACACCAGAGATGTAAAATAGGAGGGGAAGTATTTACAATAATTTGAGAGATCATCGACATAGTGCACGAAGTGGAGAAACGCAGAGGAAACAAACTGTGCCCCGGCGACACCACACAAGCCGATCTATCGCAAAGGTCGCTAACATTAAAACGTCGAGAGACTCAGGAAGAGTAACAGAAAAGGAGCTGTCGATCGCAATTTTTTTCCTACTGATAGAAATTACGAGAACATGGGGCCGATGGGGCGTTGTTGTCCGTTAATGATGGGTTGAATGATTTGAGAATTCAGGTACAGTATTCCTCAATACGATCAGTCTTGGCTATTGTTTCATTATTCTGAAAATAGCTTCCTAGGTTATACCGTAGATAACTTATACGTTCGTAATGCGTATCCTTTGCAGGACCTTTCAGAAATTTTTTTTTGGAAAACAGGTTGGGATAATTCTACCTTGATCTAGTCCATGAGAAACTGTTCCATGATTTATGTTATCCCGAATCTAGAACCGTTGTCTTCAATCAAGATTAAGCTGATTTTAGATAGTGGAGCAATATATCAACCGATCAAGTTTAAAAAGTATACAAGTTTTTGAACCTTGAATATAAAGAAAAATAGAAAAAGAAATTTTCTAAAAATTTAATTTTGAAAGGAAAACGCTTGAAAAGGGATTTGAAAATATTTTTGAGAAACGTTTAAAAATTGAGAGAAAACCTAAATCTAGAGAACAAACACTACAAATTCATAAATAAGAAACTGGAGCACAAAATATCAACAAAAAAAGTCGAAATTCAAAACCCAATTTTTCACAACCATTGCCTAGAGGATCCCCAAACCGTTGCGAAATTGTCTTTCGGACATCGCATTTAGAGACTGAGCTAGACGAAGAGTCGCCGAGAAAAATAAGGGAATGCGTCCTGGCGCCACAACGTTTTTCGCTCTCATCAAATCGTGTTGTCTCTTGCAATGGGCAACTCAGCGGAGTGCTTTTGAGCGGCGGGCGCCGAGACCGAAATAACAGAGGAAACAGAGGGAAAAAAGATAGGGAACAACATTAATTGATGGAAAAAAGATAGATGACGTGTCGAGCAGAGGACGACTCCGCAGGAGCATGTGGGTCTTGTTTGGGATCCGACAAAATTTAAATTTGAAAAAAAAAACGCGCGGCTGAAAACTCAGATTAAATCATAGACACAATCAGACAGCACACAGTAATTACACCGGACCAACGGTACCGTAATCTCAAAGTAGAAAAAAAAAACGGAAAATAGCGAAAAACAAAAACATCGTTCATATAAAAACCCATCAGTATAAAGTTAAAACCATTCAGTAAATTATTTTTCAGGGAAAAAGTAAGGCTCTTGAGAGGGAACACGAAAATATAGGAAATTTAAGGCAGGAGGCCTAGTCTACTCGTAGTTTACATGTGGAAGAAGGCGGGAGAGAGAAACAGATACTCATATGTGAGATTTCGGTATATAAATTATACATGAAAAGACATTATTAAATGGAAGCAGGGGTTGCCCATATATACACACTATAACAATAATGAGCTCTGAGAATCGGGGCAAGTGTTCATGCGTTACCAAAATCTGATACGCTCGTTTTGGTCAATTGACATCGTTGTCTCTTATGGCGTCGGTAGATCAATGTGGTCTCAATGAAGAATATCGATTCCTCAAGTACGGATTGTAAGGTGTCATGTCGCCTTTCCGATATTCATTCCAAACGATTTTCGCCACAACCAAATGGAATGCAACGACAGCAACAACGACAAACACCCAGAATGTTGTCAATCCTCCAGTTGCCTCTCCCGATCGATGCATCTCGATCACTTCTTCTTCGTGGGCTGGAGCAGAACCAACTTCTGACACATGTATCGCACTCTTGAGCAGTTCAAGATGTCTACGGGATGGTGCAATATAGAGAAGAGAAGTGACTGGTTTTGTTACCTGAACATACTTTTTTCGTGAGTATGATTTTTGAATATATTCTCACCTTGACAGGTAATTGAGTTGCAATTTTCCCTAACGAAACCGGAGTGTCTAGGCATCCTCCATCACACGCAAACAATTGATTTGAAGATGTTACCAAAAAGTACGGCCTGTTTTCTTCGTCTAGCTTTATATCCACTCGAATCGTTCCAACTATACCCATGTTTGAATAAACTGGTACTCCGTAGAAACTCATCTCTCGATGCAAATCGTGAGCATCCAGCGCCACTTCCAAATGCGAATCGTGATAACTGGAGGCTGTCAGAGATTGTACGAACGCTTGTGAGACACCGATGGCTCCAGTGCTCAAAAGATTAGTACATCCTCTTTTTTGGAATGTCAGCATCCACGTGTTGACCAGTGCGATAAGTCTTGTCGGAGTATCCCAATCTTGCCAAAGACGAGATGGGAAAAGAAGGTTTGAGTGTCCAGTGTAACACAGCTCACTTTTTCGAGCAAGGGCTTCGAGTGGCTGGAAGTGCAATATTTATTAATTGTTTCTTCAACCAATTTTTTTCTCACTTTAACTGTTTCCAACGTTGCTCCATACTCGATAGTAGGGGCTCGCAAGTTACTCAGAAGGATATACTTGGTCGCGTTGATTCTATCTCCGTTTAATGTATTCGGTGCTTTTGAATTTGATACAGTGAATCCCGTCAGATGCATCTTCGTCCATCCTTCAAAATGCTCAGAATCCAAAGTTTTGGCATCTTTTCCAGATTGAAACAGACGCACCGCATCACGAGATGCTTCTTCGCTTGTTGGTTTGGACACAATCGAACAAGTGAAACGAAAAGATTCCTCGCTGAAACTCGATTTTGAGTTATAAAAAAATGCAGAAGTATTTCTACCGTTTTTGAGCTACTATAACTTTGCCAGGTGGATCTGTACAGATGATAGCGTACGATGCACTACCAATTTGTCGTTGATTGATGGACAAATCGCCAGATTTCGAATGGGACCACCAATTTGAACTAATCCTTGCAAGATTGATGCGGACGGTGGATTTCTGGAAAAGATTAGTGTGATTTTCTAAATCTTTCGTCGTGATAACTACCGTTGGATTTGAAATCTGAACGATTTGAACAAAGTAGTTGGGTCTTGTACGATGAGCGTAGAGTTGAGAAGTCACACATGCGCATTCGCCGTCCTGATGATTTTTTTGTAATTCATGAATGTTTCTTTCAGTTTGAACTCACCATTGAAAAACACCGAACTACTTTATACAATCCATTCTTGAAATCCGTCATTTTGGTGACTTCCATTGGCTGTGGCCCGTCGATTTCGATTTTCAGTCCGGGATAGAAGTTGGTATCTACATCAAGTACTCGATTTTTGTCCTGTACTCTCAACTGTCCTAGTGAATCGACACCGAAATATCCATTTCCAACGAACTCCACACTCTGATTATTGATTCCAGTGTCAAATTCCTGTGAGAAAAATCGACTAGCCATGTTTTCGAATCAAGAAAACTTACATTAATCTCTTTTCCCCATAATTTCAGCTTTTCATCCGAGCACTGTTGTTGTTTTGGAAACGATGAGCCGTTGGAAGTTCCTCGTGTGAAAAGGAATACAATAAAAAGACACACTCCAATGATAATAGCGAGCCGACGTTTAGGATACCTTCGAACCATTCGTATTTTACTCTCAAAATCCATATTTTCTATTCGACGCATAACTGTGCGCCATGTAATGGATGCGCTCATTGTGTGAGAAGAGGCTGAAATAACAAAGTTTGTGTATTGTGAAATATTTGTGAAAGAACAAGTGTGTCATAAAAAATACAACATGGTTTGATGTATTATGAAAACCTAGATTTCCCTTTTCAGCCCGCGATTTTTTACTAATATTCCGATAGACTTAAAAATCTGCCACAAAAATGTTAGATACGCAATCAGGTTAATAACATGAAAAACTCTATCTTAAAATTTCTGCTTTTAAAAATCCGAAGGCAAAGTTTTTGAAGTTTTCCCACGAAAAAAACAATTTTCAACTTCGCTGCGAGACCCTCATGAAAAGAGTCATGCGCCTTTAAGATTACTGTAGCCTCTCGAAGTGTCTGTAGCTTGTATTTTTTCTCCTTTGTCTGTGATTTTCTCTTGATTTCCGTACTTTTCTGTATTTTTGACATATAAAATGTATCTTTTGAAAATTTCCATACGTTGTTTGTTTCTTATTTTTGTTTCAACAATAATGAATAAAGGTTAGAATGGATTTGAACCCACCTTGTTGTTCAGAATTCGCTGTCCAGCAAATTCAAAAATAAATCAATTTGGCACAGAAAACTAAGCTAACGAAACGCAATATCTAACTGACGCCAGATGCGACCTTCTATTTCGATTCTCTCTTCATCTGCTTCCTTTGTTTATCCAAATAAATCTCCCCCGAGAAAACTGCGACGAGAAAGCGATAGTTTCGCAAGCCCGCTCCATCGTCAAAAACCGCGGGTCTCGCCGCGAAGAGGCGAGAGAGAATTGGCCTCCGTGGTAGAGATCGTTGATTATTGGCCTTCAGAGGGCGCCGTCCCGTAAAACCAAACTATCGATGAAATGCAGCGACGAAAAATCAACAATGACCAACTTTTTGCAATATTTCCTTTATAAATATCAGATTTGCACAGATTTGTGTCCGTTTTCCCATGGATTTCGTTGAAAGTTGGTATCTGTTAGAAGTAATGTCCGAAGCGCTCGTCCGCAAAAACTAATAAGTTGTTTTTCTTGAAATCTGAACCGAAAATTTGTATGTTTAAAAATGCGAATTTTTTCAGTCGACTTTTTACTCCCTTTCTTGCGCTTTTGGGCCAAAAAATCGGTCTTATAAATTTTGTTTCAGGTATTACCAGTACTTTACGACTGTAGCCATGGGAATCAGCGACAACGATGTTCAGAAGCAACTCCGCCACATGATGGCTTTCATCGAGCAAGAGGCCAACGAGAAGGCTGAGGAAATCGATGCCAAGGCCGAGGAAGAGTTCAACATTGAGAAGGTTTGTTGTTTTTAAACACAAAATGAGTTTTTAACTGAAATTTAAAAGGCAGAAGAAACATTCTGAAATTTATGAACTAGTGTCATGAATTAGATAGTTTTGAGACTGATTCAATCCTTTTTCAGGGACGTCTCGTTCAACAACAACGTCAAAAGATCATGGAATTTTTCGAGAAGAAGGAGAAGCAAGTTGAACTTCAGCGCAAAATTCAAGCCTCCAACTCTCTTAACGCTGGACGTCTTCGTTGCTTGAAGGTGAGTTTTCTATTGTACCAAGAAAAATGTGCATTGTTCGCATGACATTTTTTAACGAAAAATGTTCAACACAGAAAAAATATGAACCTTTTCAATTTAACTTGGCTTTCAGGCTCGCGAGGACCACATCGGAGCCGTTCTCGATGAGGCTCGCTCCAACCTCTCCCGTATCTCAGGAGATGCTGCCCGCTATCCAGCTATCTTGAAGGGACTTATCATGCAAGGACTTCTTCAATTGCTTGAGCAGGAAGTCGTTCTTCGTTGCCGTGAGAAGGACCTCCGCCTTGTTGAGCAACTCTTGCCAGAGTGCCTCGACGGACTCAAAAAGGAGTGGGGAAGCACCACCAAGGTCGTTGTCGACAAGCACAACTACTTGCCCTCTGAATCAGCTGGAGGAGTGGAACTTGCTTCTCGCGGAGGAAAAATCAAGGTTTCTTCTACTCTTGAAAGCCGTTTGGAGCTTATTGCTAGTCAGGTTTGTAAACTTTTATTTTTAAAGAACAGTGGATAAGAAGTTTTATAATTTTCAGATCGTTCCACAGGTGAGAACAGCTCTCTTCGGACCAAATCCAAACCGTGCTTTCTTCGATTAAATTCTCATCAAACCAGTGCACGTATTCTGAAACTGAGATGATCCCCTCATCAACATCGCTTTCTCTTTATCCTTCATCCGTTTAGTAGCTGAATTTATGTATATTCTTTTTTCTTGGCTCGTTTAACCTAAATTCTTCGTAATTTCGTCGTTGCCCCCAAAAAAAAACATTCCATGATGTAATTCTCGTCGAATACTAATTTTGTGATAGCCCTTCTACGTTCATCCCCATACAGTTTTTTTCAAGAAAAAATTCCCGAAAAGCAATAACACTTAACAAACGTTCTGAAATTCTCTTTTTCGATTTTCAGATTCAAAAATCTTATGAGCGATAGTTTTTCTTTTCCTGTAATCTAAATTTGCACTTGATTTTCACTTATTGAATGTTTAAAATTTCTATGTAGTCTTTTTTTGTAGATAACATAAATGTTTTCAGATTCATGGGATACAATCGAAATTCAAATGACAAAATCTTTATTCTCTAAAGTGTTCGCTACTGTCCAGAAGCCAAATTGTAGTCCTTGATGAACTTGTCGTACTTGGCAACGTTATCAGGTGTGAGCAATCCTAAGTACTTGTCCTTGTACTTTTCAAGAAAATAGTTAAGCATGACACGATGAATGTAGAGGTATTGGAGATCGGTTTGGATCGAGTAGGCACGTTGATCACGAAGGCTCTTCACGAGATCCGGCATAGGAGGGCATTGCTTGTTTTCGGCGATTCGTTCTGAAAAGATACAGTTAATAATTTTCTCAGAGAACGCTGACCCAAAATGTACTCAATGGCTACAATGGTTCCAGTGCGACCGATTCCAGCTGAGCAGTGGACAACAATGGGCATCCTAGAACCACGAACAGCTGATAACAGCTCCAAGCTAGTCAGCTTGCAAGGTGGAACACCACGATCCGGCCATTCACTCCAGTGGAGATGGCGGACAACCATCGTTTGGCCACAACTGTAGACGTGGAGAGTGGTGATCTGAAAACGGCCATATAGATCAATAGATACGGAGACTCGGCTTACATGAATCTCGGCATCCTTCTCCATCGGCTTTGCTCCAGAAACGTTCTCCACAACGATGCCACCTCGAATCTCTCGCTTCTCTCCCATAGCCAATGGCCAATACTGAGCACATTTGTACTTTCCCGTCTCAATCGTCTTGCACAACATGACGATTTGTTCAACTCTTTGTTGAACAATCATCCACCAGAAGTCATCAACAGTGTGGTCCAACGGTCCTTGCGTACAAATGAAACGTTTATCCGGTACCATCGGACAACCGACAAAGTTAGCATGAATGTAATCGTTGGGTGCTGGTGGCTTGATGAGTTGAACAATGTTTTGGTCCTGGCACGGAACGTCGGCGTAGCGATTTTTGGACTCATTGATGTTGGCTGACTGATTGGCGTTGAATGTGTTCTGGGTCATATCAGCTCTCGTGTACTTTGCCATTTGCCGAAATTCGTCGCGAAGTTTCTCGACACCATAATCCAGTGCTCTTTGGACCCATTGCTCAACAATCGGATGAGTTTGAACCGGAGCTTGTGGAGGTGGAGGCGGAGCCATTACAGTAGTCACCATTTCCTCATCGATCGTTTTTCCTCCTTTATCCTTGCGTGCCTTTCTCGAGTTCTCGGTTCTGGTATTTCCTCTTCTCCGCTCCTTTCTTGTCGTTTTTTTCTTGAATATGTCGAGCACAGCAGTTGCCTTCATTATCCGCTTCAGTTAGAGAAGCTACTTGTTTCTAAATCGAACTGATCCTTAGATTCACCTTGGCTTCTACCATTGCTATGAACCGGACTCCACGTGTTTATAACTTTGTCACGTTTCAGCAATCCACACTACTTGATGTTCCGGAGAATCTTCTAATCATTCCTTACTAGGAACAATGGGTTTTGGGGACGATGAACGTACAGAAGAACAGAAGCAAGTACTCGTTGAAAAATGGATTAAAAAAGACATGAGGTATCATTTGAACGAAAAGAACAGAACTTCTGAAAATAGTTATTTTAGAGATTGTAACATTTTCATCTCCCTGCCTTCAGGACGAGTAATTCAATCCCATTCGTTCGTTCTCTACAAGTACTCGAAGAAATACATGGTTAGATATTTTCAAAGCGAAAAAAAAATAATAGCTGAAATTGCAGGACATCGCTTTCCCGGTTACAAGACGATTTTCGGTTTCTGGCTTAAATGAACAGTCCGTATATGCAGTAATAAGCTGGATGTACACTCAAACCATTCAACCAACAGATGCAACTGTGTGGAATTTGATGAAGGTCGCATATCACTTCCAAGTGGATAAACTGGAAAAACTCCTATTGTCATATTTCAAAAGTAGCCCTCAAAGGACCATCCTCGGGTTGAACTCGGCTTCCGCAGAGTGTATTCAAGAGAGACCACACGGTGGATTTCGACCAGATTTCACAAGTTTTCAAAAGGAATCTTTCAGTAAAGAGTTGAAAGATATTCTGAAAATTTTCTATGATGTGGAACCGAATCTGGATATCAACGGAATCAGCAACCTAAACGTTACATCTATCTATGCATTAATGTTGGTTCATATCGATTTGAAAACGAAAACAAGATTCATTTTCTTGACGATTGATTGGATTGCAAAGACCAGACCATCAATGCAAACGATCCATGGGATCATCCAAAGTTTGCAAGCTCCAATTACATTCAAGCTTAACTATGACATCAGATGGCGTATGTATATGGCAAGTTTGAACAATTTCGCTAGTTGTAAGAGTATAAAGATTTCAGTTTCTGACCAAATTCTATTCATCATCTTCTGAATTCTACATTTGGATGGATGGAACATCTGATTTCATGCTCGCAGGACCGTCAGAAATTCGAGCGATTCCTCCAGAAGTTCTTTGTTATCCAGTGCAAGAGAACCCACATTTCATTGTGCATGATGTCCATAGAGATCCGACAAATGTGAATGCGTACCGAACTGAGCAAAAATTAGGTGAATCATATGAGAGAGGATTGATTTGTGGACTTTATGAACAAAGGAACAGAGCTCAAATAACTTATAGTTACAACCAGAAGGGAAAACATAAGACTTGGGGTGCATTCAATCCGTACTGGTTGAGAGATCTAGGGGCATCGAGTATGTACCATGTTGAAGATCCAGACGAAGTGAACAACCGATTAGAGGAATCGGAGGATGCTCGCCAGCAACGACTTAGAACAACACGTAATTTAAGAGTCAGTAATGGAAACTACATTGATTTCTCTAATTTCAGTAGATGCTTCAATGAAGTATTTTCCTCGTCGCAGTTCCAGCCATCCTCTAAAGGTTCAGAATTTCAAACAGTGTGGAGCATGTAAAACCAAAAGCCATGTTTGCACTTTACCGAAATCGGTTTTGAAAAAACTAGCTGAAAAAGAAAAGAGAGCAGCGGAAGAGTCTTCAGGTGCCCAAAACTTTTTGTAATTGAAAACTGAACCATTATTTTAGATGATTCTGGCCAAGCCAGTACTGGATCATCGAGTGATGGGAAACCTCCGGATTCAGGACCACCAAAAGACAACTCATCTGGATCTTCCAGTAATTCTGAAGGGAAAGGAAAAGGGCCGAACATTAGTATGATATTTCTTCGCAATCTTTTTTCAAATTAGAATATTTTCAGTTTACTCGGACCACTGTACAACTAGCAACTTTGGGACCCAGTCTATTTGAACTCACGATAACTCAGATCATAAGAAGTAAAATTGCATGAAATAATATAATTTTATTTGATTCAGGTTTTGCACTATTTCAATTTTAATTTATCAATATGATTGCTCACTTTTATTATCTTATACACATTTATTAGCACTGAATAATAATGAAAAAACAATAAAAATGAATATAAATGACCTAATTATTAGAAATTCTTCACAGTTCCAGCTGGAATGTCTCTCCCATCGATTTGAATGTATAGATTTCTGTTTTTGCTATTTGAACAGAAATATTTTCCGAACAGACAACCGGCCATAAATATAGCGGAAACTATAAAAATACTGATGAACATATATTTTAATTGATATTGTTCAGATGTGGGCTTATAGAATCTCAGCGCAGGTTTCACTGGTTCCAACGATTTTTTCTTTAGCGCTGTAACATTTTTGTCGTATTCTATCATGTCTTTCAGCCAGTAATTGATTATCTGAATTTCAAAATGTATTGCAATATTGTCCTTCATCACTTACCCTCTCCTCAAATCTATCCTTCATTTGTGGTCTCTCACCAGTTGTTTCATTCCAGTAAACTTCATAATATGAGCTCCTTTCTACATTTGCCATCTCAAATCCTTCTCCTGGTTCTCCATACTTTGCAAAATTCATGAAGAATCTCTCATAAACTCTCGCCAGCTTCTCTTCATTCTCGTCTTTTTCAAACCGATGAACACCCATTAAATAGAACAGATCATCAGTATGCCTTGCGTGTTTTGGGTAGGTGTATTCGTAGAGAAATACCTGGAAAGAGGAAATCAGTTTTAGAATAAAACCTTGGGACAAACAGGCACTCCATTTGATTGCAAGCGTTGAGCTCTGATAATTTCTTGAACCATAATAGCTTGAGTTTCATCAGAGTGATTAGAGAAATCTGTAATATTTAATAACTTTTTTTTCACATAATCCTTGATGCTCAGGTAGAGATTGCTCACCATAATTCCCATTCTTCAAATCCATTCGATATTTCGCATATACCTCAATCGGGTTTTCATATCCAATACCTTCTCCTATTGGCTTATCAGCTGGTGCGTGATCCATTTCATATCCTGTGCATCCAGTTAACATTGGAACGTGTTTCGGGGTATCCATGAAATGATGATACGGTACATCTTGGAAAAGTGGTTCTCGTTGAATGGCAAACGCAAATGTGGGATACCCTTCTTCTTCTAGTTTGCGTTGCAATCTGAAAATTTTAAAAGTTTCAAGAATCCATTGTATTTTTCCCAAACCAACCTCAATAATTCATGTGAGTCTTTGTTTTGTAAACATTTCATCATATACAAATCTCTCTGATTCGAAGTCATATTAATTCCAAGATCTTCTGGAATAATACAGTTGGCAAATTCGGCAAAGTATCTGGTTTTCTGCTCTTGAATTTCAAAATTTTGAAAATCATGACCAGAAGACATGCTGATGGCTCTTTGAAATAGACTGAAAACAATTTTCTTCTCCATTGGTCGAAACATTTGTTTTTTCCTACCTCAAATCCGTATTAATTTTGGTGCTGAATGTAAGAATCGCAGTCAGAGAACCACCGTAAGAATGCCCCATTATTGTTACTTTTTTGTTGTCTCCTCCAAAGTTTCGAATTTCAGATTTGACGAATTCCAAAGCATGAATAATATCTGGCAGTTAAAAAGTCATTTGAGGTATTACGGAAATTTAAACGTACCATAAAGAGCCAAATTGTTTGGAGCAATGGATTGATCACGAACAACAAAGTGAGAAAAGATTCCAAGACGGAAAGCCGGAATCACAAGTATTACATCTGGAAATTAGAAACATGAAATTGATGTATTGAAACGAATCAAACCTTGATTAACAAAAGTTCCCAAAAGATAAGTATCATTAAACATAACGGCGGAATCATAAAGAAGACCTCCACCATGTAAGTAGGTTACAACAGCACAATCTTTAGATTTCTGGAAAAAATGGGTTCCATTTGAAAAAAAACTTTGAAAACTAACCAAACATTTCTTTGAAGTGAATACATTCACATGAAGACAATCTTCATCAACCCATTTTTGTGGGCTTGTTGATGTTGTAGAGTTTGACATACATGCTGGACCATATTCTGAAACAAACATTATCAGCACTTCTAGAATAAATCAAAGATAACCAAACGAACAAACCTTTTGCGTTTCTTAAACCTTCCCATTTTTCAGGAGCTTTTGGTTTTTGAAATCTCAATTTTCCAACTGGTGGTTTGGCGAATGGAATTCGTTTGAACAATAGAAATTCTCCAACATCATCTCCATCCAATTGACCAAAAGAAGTAGTAACAATGGCTGAATTACAATATGAAAAGAACAACGAAAATATGGAAAACCAGAAGAATAGCAGACAGAACTCGTTCATTTTGTTTTTACTTCAGAGAACTGAAAACCAATGTTGTGTCTACTGACTGAGTCAATCATGCTTTCAATCATAACTGATAAAAATTATGTAGTTTTTGTGGTGATAGAGAGGTTATGAAGAGACGGAGGTTCGATAATACAGTCTGGGCACAATGTGCATACATCACATTTTTTGATGATCAATATGACTTGTGACTGCAGTGGCAAAACAATTGAGAGTAAATGATTTACAAAACTAAATGTTCATGAATACGGCCCCTGGTCCATCAGCAATATTCATCCGCGAATTACTCGTTTTTGCCACAACACACTCAACACAAATACACTATGCTCTCCGCCTTTGTCTTTCTGCTCTGCCTGCTGGGTACAAAAGGGAGAATTCTTCCCAGGCAAACGGCGACGCCCATAGCGCAACTGGTAAGCGCATACACAGGCCAGGCGCGACTGCTGGAAAACGGGCGTGCGCCGGGGCGGAACCTGTTAAATAAAGAACAGTCGCCGTCCCAGTTTCCGCGCCGGCGACGGCCCGTTCGCTAGATATTGCGCCTCATGAACGGACCGTCCTTCACTAGTTGTATGTCGTCGTTCTGTCTGTTGAATTTGTATCAAAAAGTAACAATCATTATTAAAAAATGTATTAGAAAACATCTAGCTCATAGATAACAACAATAACGGAGATCAGGAAAGTAGTAACAGAAGAGAAAATATGTTAGTTATTATTAGGTTGAGCGAAAAGTCTTTGTAATTTTTAGTCTTTTTTTCGAAACAAAATTTATTCAAAGAAAGCGAAATTCAATGTGGGATATATTCACCAAAAGTATCAATGACTTCTTGCCAACGCAATGGAAGTTGAGCGATTCCATTACCATAGAACTCGGGAGAATGGGAAGCGAAAACGTCGTCCAACCACTTTTTAACATCCTCTCTATCATGGAACTTCTGCCTACCAAGAAGATTCTGCAGGGAACGGAACAAAATATATTCGGATAGAGCCAGGTCTGGTGAATACGGTGAATGACAAAAGACATTGGCTCCGAGCATCTGGAGCTTCCGACGGGTCTTCAAAGTTGTAGGTGGTCGGAATCATCAACAAGCTGGATTTTTTCGAGGTCCGGATAGTAACGCCGTCTAGAAGAAGTCTTCTGAAGATAACGCCTTCACTGTCCCACCAAATGGGCAACATAACTTTTTCTCGTGAAGTTCTCCTTTGGTGTCCATTTGGGCGGTTTTCTCGGCCGGGACCCATCGTCTTTTTCTACTCGTCACCAGTGATAATATTCTCAACCCAATTGGTTCTACATTTCCTAGTAAGCCGAGAATGTGCCATGTCGCAGAATGTGCCATGTTGTGAATCCGTCAAAAGGTGACGAGCGAGTTGACCAAACTTTCGCACTCTTCCAGATTCATGAAGATGATCAAGTATGATTCTTTGAGGACGGTTATGACCTGGTGTAAGCTCGCGTGACGTTACTCTTGGTTGTTCTTCCAGCGCGCTAGAGATATCCTCGTTGAGATCAACACGTGGTCGACCAGATCTTCGAGATCGTAGTTCTCTTCGGAGAAACTTTTGAACCAAAACTTTATTATAGTGTAGGGCACATTGTTCTCACCTAACACTGCACACAATTTACGACAAGCTACGCTGCCCTCGTGACCTTGGAGAAACTCTTATGAAAAAGTACCCCTGAGAGCATGGTGGTCTCTGACCAAATTCTCGGTCATAATGAACGCCGTCTTTAATTTTAACAAATTTTTTAAACATGCACAACTAATACATAGAAAAAACAGAATAATGAAACGGGAAACCAACGCTGAGATATGACAGTCCAAAAAAAAAATTACAAAGACTTTTCGCTCAACCTAATAGATCTTATTGCTATGCTTCGAGGATCTTGTTGTCATTGGCCGGATTCGATGATGTTTCACTTGAGAATCGAGTATCTTGACTGGCGTCTTTTTGATTGGAATCGCAGTCTTATTTTTCTCGCTACGGTGTTGAATGAGCTTCTGAATGTCCTGCTGGTTGTTCTCAAGATCTGCATCGTTTCTGTCCATTTCTTCAGCGAGAACGACGAAGCCGAGTAGTCATGTATCATTTTGTATCATTTTCTGTATATGGCTCTTCTGGAAGTTCTATGTCATCCGCTTCTTCTTTTGATGATTCCAAGTCACTGTCTTCGTCTATTGCCACTTCAAAACGGAGAGGAGGGAAAAAGCTACGAGGACTCCGTGTCATTACTGTAGATTCAAAAAAACTTTATTAATCAAAGAACCGTAAAGAAAAAAAGAAAAATCTTTAAAACATGGATGTTTATGGTTGAAATTTTAGCTTCTCCACAACGCCTTCTTCCACGTCACTGACTTGGGTGACCTAGTTTCTTTTCACATTGAGGGCAGCATTTTCTTTTTTTTAAAATCATTTATATAGTTCACTATATGCATCTCGGACATTCAAATCAGTGTCCAATAGTTCAGTAACAACTTAGTAAACAAGTTTTTTTAAATTCCTAACTTTGTTTTTACTCTTTCCATCTTGTCCACTACCTATTCATAAACATCTTGTTTCTTTCCTTTCCCAGTTTACTCATACTTTAACGATCCCATTCCCAAGTATTCATGGATTACGAACATTTATCTTATTAATTCCCTGAATACTCTTTTTAACAATTCTTTTATAAAACATATAGCAGATTTCTGTTCGAGAGTTGTGTTCATCAGTTCGCTCCTCTTCAGCTGGCATCTAGCAGTTATCCGCCAGTCCCGCTTTGTCTCTAGTATCTGTGTCTATGGACGAACGGGCCGCAGACAGAACGGCTCGTCGCCTAGCCGTCAACGGCCTGCTCGCATCGATGAGGAGGTGACTAGACGGTGTTCACCAGCGAGCCGGGGGCTCAACCTCCTGGCTTCTGTTGTTTTATATCACGCACTTGAATCTCTAATTTCAGAACTTCCCGAAATTTCTGAGTTTTTTATTTCCAATTTTCGATTTTCGCAATGTCGGAATTTCAGAATAAATAATAGAAACCCACCTTTAATAGAGGCTCACACTGGCTTTGCAGTTTCTCTTTTTGGTAACTGCAAACGTATTTTTTTCAATTTTCTAATAATTTTCGTTAAGTCTTGTCGGTTTTAGGACACTCTGAGAGGATGATTGAAAAATAGAAACCCATTTTGAATTCCTTATGTTTCGAATTTCAAACGAAGATCTTTACTATTAACAATCACCAAATTCTATGTGTGTGTGTCCGGTGTTCCCGGTTCTGAGACCGTAGCGAACTCACCACTGGACCAAAATTTACCAAATTTTCACAGATGACCCGAAATAGCAGCGAGATGATGCCCGTCTATTTTAAATTTTCGATATTCGATTTTTGACGTCTTCTGGATATGACCTTCTACTTCTACAGTGCAAATCCTTAGAAATTATTTTCACGCCATTCCCGCCCATCCACCTATTTTTTCCTATCCACGTTATATCAAACAAAAAGATGATTTTGTGCGAAGAGACATTCAGTCTGGGTTCTGGAGATTTAAAAGTATCTAAAAATTATGATAAGAAATCAGAGAAAAAGACAAGATCCCTCAAAGATCAATAAGAACGCGTTTAATGTAGTCTTTGAACTTCTTAGGCTTTAAGTTTTAAGAAATTAAAATCTTTCGAATTTCGAAGGTTTTGAATTCCCAAATTTTCCAAATTTTTTAAATGCTGAAACTATAGAAACCTGGATTTTTAGAACTATATATTTCCAAATTCCAAAAGATTAAAATGTGTGAATTTTCGGATCGAAAAATTCAAAATTTTAAAATTTTAAAAATAACCGCAAATCAGAAATTCCTGAATGCAGAAATGCAGAAATTCGCAAAAATCGGAAAATCTGAAGATCAGAAAGGCAGAATCTCAAAAAAAAAATCAGAAACCCATAAATTCAGAAATTAAGAGTCTCAAAAAACTAAAATTTCTGAGATTAAATTCTTGAATTTCAGAAAGTCCTAATTTGGCAATTCGGAAATTCGAAAAATCAAAAATCAAAACTTCCGAATCTTAAAAAAAAATTAGAATTTCAGAATTTCAGAACTTCAGAAACTCAGAAATTAGGAAATTCGAAAAATCAGAATTTCTGAATCATGAATACCTGAATTTTCAAATTTGTAAACTGCTGAATTTCTAAACCTCTGAACTTCTTTCGAAAAATTTAAAAACTTCCTAACTCCTAAGTTTCTCTGAAATTTTGAGTTTTTGTTCAATTCTGAACTCATTCTGAATTCAATTTTTAGATTTTTTTTTTCGAAATTTTGTTCCCAAAATTTTTAGTCGCTGTTTTGAAGTGAAACGATTTTCTGGATTTCAAATTTTAAGAGCTAAAAAATTTCCGATCTTAATTATGAATGGCTTTATAGGCTATATTCCTGAATTTGCCAAAAATTTGCAAAATTGGTTTTGGGATTTCAGAAGTTCCAGATTTGTAGAATTTCTGAATTTCAGAATTTTAGAACTTCTAAATTTGCGAATTTGAGAGTTACAGAAGTTTTGTTAGACTTATTTCCTTCATCACAATGTCTAAGATTATATGCATTAAAACACTTTTCATTAACTGACTTTTCGAATTCTCAAAAATTCAAATCTCCTCATATCCGAGATGTTAAATTCCGAAACTACCGAGATCCTGAGTTTCCAAAAAATCATTTTCTTAAGCTCAAAATTTCCTAATTTTCGAATTTGTGAGCATAGGCCCTAAAAAACAGCCCCTGTAAAAGTGACGGACTCTCTTTATTAGATTACGGGTATTGTTGTTTATTAAAATTTGAATTTGGAATTTCCCGAGTTTCTTGAATTTTCTGATGTTCCCAAATTTCTGAATTTCAAGATGATTAGACTTTTGTGATTCTAGAACCCGGAATATAAAAATTCCAGAATTTTTAAAATTCTGGGTTTTTCAATCCTATTTTTTCATGAATTTTCTAATTTATGATTGTCGAGGTTTCTGAATTTCAAAAGATCAGATTACGCATACACTTGACTTTTTCTGAGCCTATGATTCTAAATCACGTTGTAATTGTAGGAAAGGGGCCACAATGCCTGTATTTTTATAGAGAAGGCTAGTCCTCTTTTTCAAGTCCAGTAGGGGCTTACTTTGAGTGTTAAACAAATTGGTGGCGAGAGTCAGAATGTTTGGCACCTCCAAAGCAGAACCTCCAGAGTTTTTGCTTAGAAGACACCTGATATTATAGATAGGGATGTTCGGAACGGAATTCCAAAAATTCGAAAATTTTTTTCGGAATTAAAGTTTTTTGAACTGCGATATGTTGAAAGTGTACTCAAAAAATTTATCCTCGATGTCGATCGGAATTATTGTCATAATTTGTTTTTTGAAATCGGTTCGTCAATTTTTCTCGCTTGGTGATGGGAAAGTGGAATTCCGAAAATCCGGAAATTAAAAATCGGAATATTTCTGGACTCCAAAATTTCGGAATTCGGAATTTTTGACATTTCGAATATCCAAAAATTTCAAAATCTGAATATTTCCAGATTCTGAAATTTAGAAAATTTGAAACTCGGAAATTCCGACATTCCGAAAAATATTGCCGTTTTTTCCGGCCTTGTCGGGGCTCACAAAATCTCCTCGGAAATTGAATAGAAAAAAGTTTGATTTAGAAAATTGAAAGTTAGTACATCTCGGAATTTTGAGTAATTTGTCCGAAAATAGGGCATTTTCGTTGTAGCGTTTTTTTTTGAAAATTTAGTTCCAAAGTTACTTTTCGACTGTGCGAATAGGAAAGTTTACGTTTGGTGCATTCTCCCATTTTCCCCTTGGAAATATATTCAGTTGATTTTCGGAGGGAAAATGATTTTCAGAGAAAATTTTTATAAAATATTTCTATCAGACAATAGTATCTGATTTCTCTGAAGTTTTCATTTAAAAAACAAAAGGGATCTTCATTTTAGATGATAATTATGTTGTTTTTGAGTCTTATGTTGAATCACTCAAAGGCTAACTATTTCGGATGATTTCAACCGTAATAACTTGAACGAAACTTTACAAATAGGTTTCAACTTTGAGAAGGGAATTATAGGCATGTTATGTAAATCTAAAAAGCTCAATGCAATTCAAACAACATCTAATTAATTTCGAGTGTTATACTTTCAAATTTTCTTGATCTACTTTTAAGGTTGTCGGAATTCATAGATTTTTCAGCTTAAAATACCCTTAAATATGTATTGTATTGTTTCTGACTTGATTCGTTATAATTTTCTCCTGTTATAAATTGAAACCGAACTTCATTTGCAAGTTACACTTTATTTTTTCCAACTCATTGATTCAATCCAATCAATCCGATTTCCGATGTGTCTCTTATTTTTTTCCTCCATTTCTCGATTTCTTCCCTCCTTCCCCACTTCTCATTTTCATTCTTCTCACTCTTATAATAAATTCAACATGAGAAATTTGTACTGATTCGTCGTTGATGAAATTCTAATTAAAACTTTGAAATAAGCATCAAATTCTTTTTCTTTTTATATAATTCTTTCTCTGCCAGATAACTTCAGGAACTGATGAATCATCTTTTGTTCGGTTTTTCTGAACCTCTCCTCATCACACACTACTTCTGATTTCTCGCCAATCAAAAGAATCATGTGTTGTCAGGTCGGCAACAGGACAGAAGAACAACAAATTATTTTGTTTCTCCGACTGACATTGATTGATCAAGATTTATCTGTGGTTTCACTTTTCACCTACTTACTGATTTCTGATTTTCTTCTATTTTTTTTCAATTTCAGATGACCACCCGGCTACCTTTTCTTGCCGTTCTAATCTTGCCAACTGTTATCTATTCCGTTGAAATTCGTTGTTATGCTGGTTTGAAATATGTAGTGGGACAAGAAGTGATACAAGACACTGGTAGATATTTATACCAAAAAATTATGAAATGAATCGAAATTTTCAGAAAACTGTGATGCGATGCTAGGGATGGGAGAGTCCTACTGTTACAAATTCATGGAGGAAACCCAATTGAATGAAGTTGTCAAAATGGGATGTTCCAGCTTTTTCTGTAATGTAAATGTGCAAAATGGGTGTCCAAAGTTTTATAACAATTTTCAGGGGATCCGCAACAGGTGCATGGAAACCGATCTTCTTGGAATGAAAGGAACTTTGTGTTGCTGTAATGATCGACACTACTGTAATTCTAGTCGTTCTCAAATTTCAATTATTTTCTTGATTCTCATCGTTGCTTTATTGATTTGATTATTTTTTTTAGAATTTCAATTCATACGGGTTTAATGAAATTTTTGCTTTCCAGTTTAAGTAAGTTCAAAGACGGTAACAACTGTAATAGAAGGGCCCCACACACTGTCAAGTTAATTTAACTTTTCTTAGTTCCTGTGCAAAATATCAGAATGGTGTCAACTAATAAAATGTTTGTGATATTGTAATGAACAATTTATCAGTTGATAACTTTTTTATATCTTCGACACGAACCGAGATAAATTGGCTCGAATTTAAAAGTTAGGGGCTCTTCTATTACAGGTTTTACGAAATGAACAAATTTTAAATATTTCCAAATTTATAGCCATCCTCTTCAAGTATACATGCCTATTCCAAATCAAAGAATCTTATTCATTTTTCTGTATTTTAATAAATGAAATCTGATTCCTGATCTGAATAGAAAATGATAAAAGCCAGCAAAAGAGTACCAGCTAAATATGTAAATTTTGTCGAGTTGCAATACAAAATAGGGTTGAAATGACAATAAATTTGGCTTTTGCCCCATCTGAAAGCATCCAACAATCGCTGTTAAATAAATATGTCAACAATTCGCATTTTTCTGCTTATTCTCATTCCTTATGGATTCTCGATTCTTCTCGCATCGGAAGGTAAGGAGTAATGAAATGTGCAGAGTGGCGCATAATTCACTGAACTAAATTTTGTACCAGCCTAACATTTGAGTAAAGCGGTGTATTAAGCTCAAACTTGGAGTGCGAAAATTCAATTAATTCATCAGTAAACTGACCAAATTTCACATTATTGTGCTGGATCTAAGGATCGCACTCTTTGTCTGTGGTGACTCACCTGATCAATTTTGAGCTAAGTTATAGCTAGCCAAAATTTCTTCATCTTTGGACAATCATAACAATACCTAGAATTGAGAAATCGCTTTGAAAATTTTAGTAGCTTTGAATTAAACATAAAATATATTTCTATAAATTTTCATTCTTTTCGTTCAAGTTACGCATGTTTAAAGATTATCCATTTTTATTAGCCCGGGTAAATGTGCACCACCCATTATTTTAGTTTTCACTTAATTTTTAAAACTAATTTTCCAGCCTGTGCCATTCCTAATCCTCAACAGGACCCTGTCAAACTTGGAGACGTTCCAGTTCCTGGAGCAGATTTCGTGATTCTGAAAAACAACTCAACTACCAATGAAACTAAAACACCACCAATTAGCAGTTCTGTCGAGCAAGGAACTCCGGAAGAAAGTTCCAACTACCGTTACCAACCAATAACAATTTTCTCTGCAATTTTCACTTTGATTCTTTGTAAAATTATTTGACTTAATTTGATTAATTTTTTTGAATCAATTATGAAAAAAAAAATAAAACAACTGTTTCAATGTTTTACAAAGTAGAGAATTCAATTGAAGAAAGAAAAATTGCTCAGAACAAAGTTTTTGAAATTCAATCTGATCCAATGATTTTCTCTGGAGATTTCCGAAATTTCGAAATCTTTTTCTTTCTTTCTCTTGCATGAGTAATAAATAGATTTGACACTGAAAACAAGGAGACAAACGAGCTCCAAGGAGCTGCTGCAGCTCAAAAAACTCATCTAAATCTCTCGATTCTGAATACTCTTTCTGTTTCCCTAGTGCTCAAAAATTTAGCCCCCTTCGCGATACTTCTTGCCTGCTATTTTTTCTCGTTTTTTTTCTATTTTTCTCTTCTCTTCCCGCACCACTTCCACTTTCCGGGTGCCCCTTTTAGCTTCTTCCTCAACATCTTCTGTTGACTTTTTTCTCAACTTCGTCCACGTCTTCTTTTCTTTTCAAATGAAGCCGTCAACTAGTAATCAGGCGGTACGATCTCCACTTATCACAACTTCTCCCAAAAAATATATCGGTGGCGGAGGACCTTCGGGAGCACAGACTGCTCCTGTGGGAACGTCTTCTGGAGTCGGAGGAGCACAAGCATTTCTGGGAAAATGTCAGGTTGGTGGATAGATAAAATTGAACGAAAGAATGAATCAAATTTTCAGGATGAAACAAATCAATCACAAGGAAGTCAAGATTTTGCAAGATTGATCCATACTCGATATCTATCCGACAAAGAGAAGATTCTATTGGATGCCCTTACAGAATATAAAAGGGTTGGGTACAAGAGAAGTGCGAGACTTTGATGAAACATAAAAGACAACCATATTTTTTCAGCACTTGCTAAAATTATATCAATGATACTCGTATGCATATTTCTCCTTGTTTTCACAGTGGTCTCCATTGGTTGTTGGTCAGAGCATCTCGAGCTTACGGAACATTTGGGCGTTTATGATGAGAGATATGTCAGGACACGGAAGGTAGCTATTTCAGAATTACTGTCATTATTGAGAACACACAAAATCGACAAAAACAATAGACATTTTTAAAACCAAAAAATTGTAAAGCAGATTGACATTTTCCTTCAATTTTGTTTTAAACTCTCAGATTCCGATTCCTGCCTAGGTTATAAAAACTTATCGGCAGATCCGGATGCGTACAATGTTTTTGAAACAGTAAAAGGTCCCTCTATCATTCAAATATCACAAACATCTTATCAGTTGACAAATTTCCGATATCTTGCATGGGAGGCAAGAAGATCAGCTCAAACTCGACAGTGTCACCTATTTTAACGGTAAAATATTATTTCGAATTTCGGATAAATTTTGATTTAACGGTACATTCGATTTTAGAATTTCGATGCATAACTACAGTCTGCTCAAGAGTTAAAAATCGAACTATAAATTGAATTTTGATGAAGATCAAAAGACGAATTTCCACAATTTCAAAATTCCTGGAAGTTTTTATTCTCACAAATATTATCTGGAAAATTTTAATTCCATGCTATACAGTAGGCGAATCTATGTACGGTCACAAATTTAATCTACTAGGCTACATCTCACAATGTTCAGTTATTTTCGTTCTCTCTATTTCACAACTTTTTGCAGAGAAACCAAAGCGAAGTGGTTCTTGATTGTCCGATGATCGGGTTCATAGGAAGCATTTGGTCTCCACAGAGTTCGCATGTCGACTTGTTTGGCAAGATCATTTCCATCATATCGATTAGGAAACTTATTCAAGTGAGGAGTAATAGAGAAATACCTGAAAACTATTGGTTCAGTTAGGAATTATTATGACTTGAAAAGTTCTTGATACTTGAAGTCAGCAGTTCAGCACAAAACAAAACTTTTGGATTATCAAAATTCAATTCAAATTGTGTGATCCTGGTCTTCTTCATCAAAACAGAAAATTCCCTGTTACAGATGTAGTTTTCCAAATACCTCTAACGCCATATTTCCCTGAAACCCGAGTGAGCTCATATTTTTGCTTTCAACATGAAATTTTCCCTTAATTTGTCCCTCTTATGATCCGCGATAAAACCCTTCTCCAGGTCAATTATAAGCTTTTCTGTAGGTTAATTATAGATCCGGATGTGGCTCTCTCCATACATTTCCGGAAATGAAGAGAAAATGAGAAAGGGATAGTAATTGGGAGGGAGAGAGCCCTTGAGAGGATTACGGTAGTGTGATGCAGGAATCTTGGAAATCCGAGAAGATGAACAGTTGGCAAATCTAGGTTTTGAAACCATGAGTCACACTGAATTTCATGTACAAAGGACTATATCAAAAGCTATATATCAAAAGCTGTTAATTGCACTTAAAAAAATCTAATACTTTTCAGCTGATAATCCGTCTAATTCGATGCATCCGTCTGAAAACGACCACCGAGGCAGAAGCACGAAAACACGTGGATGAGACTCAAAAAGATTTGAACGGATTGGCCGAGTCAATAATTGAAACTTTATGTGAAGTGTAACATGGCGGATGATGGCTTAGCTTCTCTATGGTTCAAAACAAATCAGTGCAATGAACATTTACATATTGTATATATATTTTCATAATACGAACGACCATCTGTCCCTTTCTGTGTCTGTTGTTCGGTGCCTGGTCCGCAGGTCCCTTCTGAATACAACTAAAGGGGGCGGGAATGGGGGGTAGAGGAAAAGGAAAAGCTACATAGAACCCTCTCCAAGGGTAGTAAGACCATAGAAAGGATAGAAAAGAAGAAAGAGAGAGAGAGAGACTACAGTAGAAGCGAGGAGAAATAAGAGATGGGGGTCCAGCCATTTCTCGGGTGGTACGTCTCTGCGCTTCTTCTCCCAAACACAGTGTCTTCAGAATACAGAGAGCTCTTCCCGGGGAAGCTACGGAGAGAGGAGTTGGTGCGTGTGTGCCTGTGTGTGCTCACGGCTTCTGAGTCTTTTAGACGCAGAGAGGGAAAGGGAAGAAGGCGTTGTGTGTCTCTCTTCACTCCATCACAAATACCCCAACCAACCAATTCCTTCTTTCCCGCAGTCCTAAGTTACATGGTTTTCCACTCTATCTGTCTTTATTTTTAGAAACCGTTGTGCTAATTAATCTTTGCATATCTGTAAGGTCCTTGATATCTGATAACCTGATTTTAAATACAGAGAAGCAATTCTGAAACATTCTGATATAATTTTAAATTATTAATACTAAAATTATCTGATTCGTTCAATCTTTCTCACTCTTAAATCATCTTACAAGATCTCTATATCGGATATATATTTTCAATAGATCTCAAATTTCATCAAAAAGGTGAAATCTCCGGAGAGATCTTTATCTGGATGAAATATAAACAGGAGCCAACTTTTGGAGCTATACTAGCACAAAATATATCGTGGACATAGCCAATTCAACCCTCTTCGCTTCTTTTCTGATTTTTTCTTATTTTTTACAAAAGAGATAAGCAAACTGTATCCTTCCTTCTCTTTCTCATTAAGAACAACTAATTGAAAACGTTCAATCACTCAAAATAATGGATAATTGTCGAAATGCGATGGGGAAAAGAAGGATGTCGTTGAAACAATTTCAGTTCTTCAAAAAATGATTAATGACCACAAACAGAATGATTGTATCCATAGGCGTGGTAATGGGTCCTCGTGATCTGCCACATCTTCTGATTTCCAGAAAGGCCACAGTTTCTTTTTTCTTATAATTTCAAACACTTTTTTTCAAAATCGTGTCTTGAAGTGGATGGAAAAGGAATGAGTGAAGAATCCATCATTCTTTTCGTTGACTAGTCGTCCCCTCTTTTTTTTTCTAGACGAGAAGAGATGAAAACGAAAATTGTCGGTTTCCCCTCTATACACTTTTGTCAAAGCGTGTTCCCCTTCTTAAAATCATTTGGTTCTTTATTGCTTATCTAATTGTGAAATTCAGGCCACATGACGGTTCAGTTTATCACTTTAAGCCAAAACTGTGCAAATCGCGGCTGCGGCCGGCCCAGCCTCAGGCTCAAAAAATTCAAAAAATTAGAATTTTTGAAAACATTAAAACTTGGGTTTTTGAGTTTCAGAATGTGCTTTATCAGAAAAAGCCGGAGCTCGCTAACTAACACAGAAGTTAATCAAACGCTGAAAGTGTAGTTCCGGTAAGTCTGACAACCAATGCACCCGCTATCAATTTTGTTTTACGGGAAACCGAAATAAAAATTTCTAATTGTCAATGTCTACTCACGGTTTCTAGGGGCAACGAACATGTACACTGCGTCACATAATTATAAGTTCACTTAAAAATTTTGAATTTTTTCGAAAACTGGGAATATGGACTGAACAGGATTTGATTGAAGCAAATACTAATTTGGATTGTCAATTAATGAATACCATTTGAGACCGCTACCATTTCTTAAATTTGGCAAAATTGAAAAAATCGAAAAAATGGCCCGAAAAAACGTCACATAAGTATAAGTTCACTTGAAAAATAAAAGATAACTCAAAACACAGATTCTAAAATTTAGTGAAACTATAAAATATAGTGAAAAGAGATCTTAATAATTTTGTTTATGGGAGGAATTACGCTGTACCTATAATCATAATTGAGCCACATCCGTTTTCGGCCAGCTTACACTGGAAATGAACTTTTTCGTTGATAACTGTTCAGAAAACAGTGCTGACTCTAAATTTTTGTTTTTTACAGGATCATTCCCAATTGTTTCACACAGTTAACTGTCAAAAAACATGAGGCTGATTTGAAAACCGAGAAAAATTTCTCATTTTTGCACAATTTCACAAGTATGTTCCGAGTGGTACTGTGTCTTCCTCGGCAGACATCTGATTGAGCTGACTAGCATAAAAGAAAAGTGCACAAGTTTTCATTAAGGAACATACATAAAACCATAAAAACCTAGATATTGAGTTCACGGAATCAGTAACTTTTTGGATCATCACACACTCAAGCGTTAAAAATGGGCTATGAGGAGGCATGTTTACGGAGTTGTTTTGCGAGAAAGGAGTCACGCATTCTGAGTTTTCCTCCTTCGATCACAATTTTCTAGTTTAGAATTTACCGATACAATAGTTAGATTTTTTCACAGTTGCGTTCTAGACGTACGATTGGCATAGAAATTTATCAT